TCTGGACCTCATCAAGAAAGACACCAGCAAGCTGTTCAATGAGGAGGTGATGAGGCCTTGAACTGTGTTCCCTGTTCACCCCCCTCCACCCACCCACACACCGAGCTGCCTGGGAATAGGGTAGGCATGAGAAGGTCAGGGAGAGGAAGATGGGAACCAGTGAAAGTAGCTGATGGTGCCACGGTGCTCATATGCCTAGGCCCTCGGCTGTCAGCCCAATGCTGAGTGAAGGCTTTACTGCCTGATTTCTCATCCACTGATAGGTAAGAAAGTATGGTGCCCATTTCACAGGCTAGGAGACTGAAACTCATAGTTGTCGGGACTTGATGCCCTTGCTAACGTCAAATTTTGGGCACTCAGGCCTTTGGATTTCAGTCCCTGCAGCATCATTGGCTTACTTTGTGACTTTGGGAAGGTGATTTGTTCTCTGAGCCTCAGTTTTCCTTTTCTACAAAATGGGTCCACCTCTCAGGACCATTGTAAACTCGTTCACAGAGACTGCTTGGTTGGGCCAACTTGGCTTAGAAGGAAATGCCCAAAGATGACCTTAATAAGCAGGCAGGTCTGGCTCTTGAGCTGTATCTTCCTGTCTCTGGTCCAGGAGAGGTGTTGCTTAAATGTTCTTTGAGTGAGTGGCCGAAGAGAGCGAAGCCAGCAGAACAGTGAGTGGGTTACACATTCACTCATCTATTCACAGAATAATGATTATCCTTCCTGTGCCAGGCCTCAGTCTGTACAGGGGCTGGCTTGCATTCACCATCAGCTCTGACCACTGAGGCCAGCAAAGATGCATTGTGGGTGGTGACATTGGGGCCATGGTAATTGGAGTGGGTGCACTTTTCTCAGGGAGCCCTCAGTGCTTGCTGGAGGTTCAGACTTCAGGGTGAGGAAGGGTGAACACAGTTTGGGCCTGTGGAGCTGAAAGAGTGAGAGGTTGCCATCAGTTCTCATGGAGACTTTCGGGCGCATCCTATGGATGCTCCTGCTCTGTCTGCTAGGGCTAGACTAGTGTGCCATGTGGCTGGGCCTCTTATTGGAAACCAACATTCTGGGAACAAATTTCTTGGCCTTGACTCTGACACAGTGAAGATGGAGGCAACCATTAGATGGATGGAGGACAGTCTTCTGATAGGCAGGATTTTCATTTTACCCAAGGTGGGACATATAGGCTCTGTGGTCCTCCAGAGGTAATAATCTTCTCCTCACCCCACCCTTTGCAGCGGCTGATTGACAAGACCAAGGTGACGTATCTGAAGTGGCTACCTGAGTCCGAGAGTCTGTTCCTGGCTTCCCACGCTAGTGGCCACCTGTACCTATACAACGTAAGCCATCCTTGCGTCTCTGCCCCACCCCAGTACAGCCTCCTGAAGCAGGGTGAGGGCTTTGCTGTCTACGCGGCCAAGAGTAAGGCACCCCGCAACCCGCTGGCCAAGTGGGCAGTGGGCGAGGGGCCCCTCAACGAGTTTGCCTTCTCACCCGATGGCCGGCACCTGGCCTGTGTTAGCCAGGACGGCTGCCTGCGCATCTTCCACTTTGACTCCATGCTTCTGCGTGGGCTCATGAAGAGCTACTTTGGGGGTCTACTATGTGTGTGCTGGAGCCCTGATGGCCGGTACGTGGTGACCGGAGGGGAAGATGATCTGGTCACCGTATGGTCTTTCACCGAGGGCCGAGTGGTGGCTAGAGGCCACGGCCACAAGTCTTGGGTCAATGCCGTGGCCTTTGATCCCTACACCACACGGGCAGAGGAGGCAGCATCGGGCAGCGGTGATGGAGATCACAGTGGCGAGGAGGAGGAGCTTGAGTCCACTGGCTCAGGCTCAGGCTTAGGCACAGGAGCCCCACTGTCCCCACTGCCTAAGGCTGGCTCCGTCACCTACCGCTTCGGCTCGGCTGGCCAGGACACACAGTTCTGCCTGTGGGACCTCACAGAAGATGTGCTTTCCCCACACCCATCTCTGGCTCGCACTCGCACCCTCCCGGGCACACCTGGTGCCACCCCACCGGCCATGGGTAGCTGTTGGGCTGGTGAACCAGGCCCAGGCCCCCTGCCCCGCTCGCTGTCCCGCTCCAACAGCCTCCCGCACCCAGCAGGTGGTGGCAAGGCCACTGGTCCCAGTGGTGCAGTGACAGAGCCAGGCACACCTTTCAGCATTGGCCGCTTTGCCACGCTGACGCTGCAGGAACGGCGGGACCGGGGGTCCGAGAAGGAACACAAGCGCTACCACAGCCTGGGCAACATCAGCCGTGGAGGTAGTGGGGGCAGCAGCAGCAGCAGCAGCAGCAGCAGCAGCGACAAGCCCAGTGGCCCTGCTCCCCGCAGCCGCCTGGACCCTGCCAAGGTGCTGGGCACAGCTCTGTGCCCGCGCATCCATGAGGTCCCACTGCTGGAGCCCCTGGTGTGCAAGAAGATTGCCCAGGAGCGGCTGACAGTACTGCTCTTCCTTGAGGACTGCATCATCACCGCCTGCCAGGAGGGCCTCATCTGCACCTGGGCCCGGCCAGGCAAGGCGGTGAGTCTGCACTGTGCCAGGGCAGAACCCTGGGGCAGAGGGCCAGCGATCAGTCAGCAGAGAGAAGGTCAGGTGTAAGACAATGGCAGGGTCTACAGCCATCCATCCAAAGGGCCTCTGGTGGCCATTGTGGCCCAGTCCTAGCACTTATCACTCAAGGAAGAACGTGCTATCTATGAGAAATGTGCATTTTCAATGTGGAAATTGTTAGAGTATTTTGGGCTAACACTGTAGGGCAAAGATTGAGCCTGGCCTAGTGTCTAGCCTGGCCTTTAGGCACTCAGTTTCTGAACTGGCTGCTGAGGGCCTGGATGGGAATCAGAGCCAGGGCCCAGGCCTACACTAATGCTGTGTGGCTCTGGATCACTGCCTTGCAGATGGGCTGTATGGCTCAGAAGGTCTTAGATGAGGCACAGGCCTACCTAATTAGTTTAGAGCTGGTCAGAACTGACTCAGTTCCTTAGCATTTGGGCTCAGTATTGGGGACCCCACACAGCCCTCAGTTCCTTGAATGCTTGCTTTGGAAGCTGAGAACCCTCAAGCCCTAGAACTAAAATCAGTCTCAGAGGAGGCCAAGGTGATGGGGCTTGGGGAGTCTGTGAGTCCTGAAAGACACCCCTCTGTCTCCCTAGTTCACAGACAAGGAGACTGAGGCCCAGGCAGGGGAAGCAAGTTGGCCCCGGTCACCCAGCAAGTCAGAGGTAGAGGTAGGACTGGCCCCCAGTTCTTCCCATTGCAGTATCTCAGGACCAACCCTCAAGCCAGAAGTGGACCCCACTTTCCCTCTTTCCTGTCCACCTTATGCCTCCCCTGTCCCCTCTGTCCAGGATCACCTGAGGCCATGTTTACTGTGTACAAGTGCTGCCTTGGGACAGGGAAAGCTGCCAAGCTGGCTGTTCTAACTAGGACAGCAGCCCTGGGTCTGGGGGCCAGAGGGATTGGGCTAGGATGGCTGCTGCTGAGGTATCTAACCTACCCATCTCCTTGTCCTCCCCAGGGTATCTCTTCCCAGCCGGGCAGCTCCCCGAGTGGCACAGTAGTGTGAAGCCATGGATGACCTCTCCTGCTCCTTGCCATAACCCTCCCCACTGACCTCACAGATCATATTAACAAGACTAATCATGGAAGGACTGCTCCAAGAACCTGCCCTGCACAAATACTGGGGTTCCCCGGGACTGGCTCAGCCATGGAGATGTAGTAGCCTGTGTGGCCTGAGCGACCTGAGCCTTGTCCTTCACCCACTGCCAAGTACAATGACCTGTCCCTCTGAAACATCAGTGTTAACCCACATCCCCATCCCCAGCATGTGACTGGTCACTCCTGGGAGAAACTCCCAACCTACAACAGCCCAGCTCCATGGTGCCACAGGGTTGAGAGGGCAGGGTGAGGGGTGACCCACCCCCTCAAGCCCCTACAGCCCACCCCCACCAGCTCCCCTTGCTATGGTCTCTGCTTTTGAAGAGTGTTAAGTTATGGAAGCCCTCAGGGCCCTCCTTGTCCCCCTGAACCTTTTATTTATACTAAAGCTCCTTGTTTGCACAGCGCCTCAGTTCCCTTCCTGGGGTAGGAGAAGTGTGCTTACACTTGACAGATGACCTGGGATCTTCACTTTAACCAAAGCAGTCCCAATCTAGGCCACCTCCCCCAGATGCCCCCAGCCCTGGCTGGGGTCAGGAGGTTGCTGGGAATTGATCTGAGCTGCCGCTTCTGGTCAGGCATTTGCAACCTGGTGCCCAGGACTTGGCTCTGCCATGACCAGTGTCCACATTTCCTCTCAGGGGAACCAGTCACCTTAGAAAGAAGCTAAGATCTCTGCTAGCTGGCTCTCGGGGCAGCAGGGAGCAATCTTTCCACCCCCCGAAATGTTTCTGTCTAATCCAAGCCCAGGCAGGAATGTGGCTGCCCGGCCTGGGGCCAAGGAGCTATTTTGGGGTCTCTCTTGCCTGGGGAGGGCCTGGCTCCACCGCTCGCCTCCCCCAGGCTTGGGCCAGCAGGTCACCCCTGGTCCTGGCTGCTGAGCAAATTCCCTTGCAATCTTCTCTCTGCCACCCTTTCCCCACCTCCTGCCAAAAAAAAAAAAAAAAAAAAAAGTAATACAGCAGGCCCCAGGGGCTAAATTTAACTGTCCCAAAGTTGGAATCCATTGCTGAGTCACAGAGAAGCTGCCCTGGCCCCCCTTTCTGCACCCCACCCTTCCCATCTCAGGCTTGGCAGGAGAGAGGGAGTCACAGGGTCACTCTGAGACTCGATTGGCCCTTCCGCACCGATAGACCTGTAAATCCTAGTGCTCCACCTTTTTTTATGGGTGGGTGGGGGCATTTCAGGGTGTCTTGAGTGCTCTGTCCTGTGCCATCAGTCACTGAACAGTTTTGAGGGATTCTGGAAGGGAGTTGGGGGGGTTGGCTTAAGAGGGGTTAAACTTGGGAGGCAGGAGGGAGCTGGGCCAAGGGGTGGGGAAAAGAGGAGGAGGCCTCAACCAAAGAAGTGGCCAGGGAGCCAGGGGATAGTGAGGAACAGGCAGACATGCAGCCAGGGCTCTGGGGCCTGGACAGGGGCAGTCGGGCCCCTTGACAGGAAGACCCCCGAGCCCTGGGCCGGGGAGGGGCCATGGTGCTGCCTGCCCAACATGTCAGCCGAAGTGCGGCTGAGGCGGCTCCAGCAGCTGGTGCTGGACCCTGGCTTCCTGGGGCTGGAGCCCCTGCTCGACCTTCTCCTGGGCGTCCACCAGGAGCTGGGCACCTCCCACCTGGCCCAGGACAAGTATGTGGCCGACTTCTTGCAGTGGGGTGAGTGTGGGGTTGGGGCCCACTTTGGGGAGGGGGATAGGCAGGGCAGAGGCAGATCTGAGGTCAGGACTTGGCTGTGGAGGGGCAGGAGGGCATGGAGAAGTTTTCCTATAAGGGACTTAGATAGCTCAGGCCTCCATCCTTGGGCCACAAGTCCTAAGCCCTCATAGTGGGACTAAGGTCAGTGGAGGCCAGCCGTGACTCAGCCAGGGCAGGCTGGGCTGGGCACAGACTTCTGCCCTCTTGCACCCTGGTCTAGCCCTGACAGCCTTTCTTCTAAAGGACCCTCACCCCCTAAACGGGCTTTAAGGCCTTGCTTTCCCAGTGTGTGGGACAAGTGAGGCGGGGCAGCGTGGGGTAGCCACCAGGGTGCGGCCCGCAGGCAGGTGTTTGGCGCCAGCTTCCCCAGCTGCCCTGACAGGTGTCCAGGCGCTATGAGGCACTGTGAGTCATGGAGGCCCTGGGGAAGTCAGCCCGGCAGAGAGGCGCCTCCCAGTACCCCTTCTGTCCCCCAGATTAAAGAGGAACAACTTGGGGTTCTGGGTGTGCCTATTGCTAGCCTCTGGGTTCCTCCCAGTCTGTGTGGGTCAGTTTGGGGATCCCTTCTGACTCCCCACCGACCTATACGCCCTTCTCCTGTGGTCTTCCCAGGCCATATGGACAGGTCTGAAGGGCTTGTCTGCCCCTAGCCAGAGTTCACACTCAGCCTAGCTTCCATCACTCCAACGCCCTGCTGTTTTGTCCTCCATATATCTGCCCCTCTGTGTCCTGTTCTTGGCCTGTGTGTCTTCATGTCTCTGACCCAGGCTGCTTCTCCCCTTCTCCCCCATTTCACAGACAGCAAGGTGGAGGCCAGGGCCTAGGCCACTCTGTGTTGGACTGTTGTGTCCCTGTCACCCCCCAATCCTCAGTGACTTTGCCAGCCTCCCTTTTGCAGAGGATAAGGCTGGGCTGGCAGGGTAAACTGAGAGCTGGAGTGGGGGCAGGGGTCTGGCTCTCTGGGAAGGAGCAGTCCTTTTGTGGGCTGAACAGCATCCTGTGGGCCCCTCCCCTGCCAGGCCTGGGCGGGGGAGGGGGCCTGGGTTCCCGCTGCCTTAAAAGGGCTTCAATGTCTTGGCTCTCTCCTCCCTCCCCCTGTCCTTGGCCCTGGCTAATTCTTCCCTGGCGGCCCACTCTCCCTGAACCCCTCTCTCTCCTTCCTGACCCACTAACTCCCCTCTTTTGCCCATGTTCATCCCTCCTCCATCCTACCTCCCCCCCCTTCCCATTTCCATGCAGCAGGCCTGGCCTCACTCTGCCCACTGCCTCTGAGTCTCCAGCCTCTGACCTAGCTGCCCTCCCCTCTCCCTGCTGAACCACCCAAGTGAGGACCTTATCCTCTGGAGCTTTGGCTGTAAGAAAGCCCTCCTGACCCTTCTGGGGACCCAGAATGCCCTTCCACCAATAGAATGCTGGTCACTGGTGGTCACCTGCTCCTACTGGCTCCACACAGTTTCCCTAGTCTTTGTGTTGGCTGTGCTGGACACACTGCCATTTGAGGCCAGGGCCCAAGACGCCAAAGGAGAACCCCGGGTGTGTGTGTGACCAACATGGATAGTTAGGATGGGAGTGGGGTTCCCAGAGGACAACTTCTTTTCACATCCTCTCTGCACTAAAGGAACTCTCCATCTTGCAGCAGCCCTGGGTTCCCCAAACATCACTTGGTGTTTTGGAGGCAGAGTCTAAAGCCAAGTTAAGCAGCAGAGAAAAGGGGAGACTGAGGGCTGGACCCTGGCCTCTAGCGTCCTGATGACCTTTGGCTTCTTCCCTCTTCCCCACAGTGGAGCCCATTGCAGCGAGGCTTAAGGAGGCCCGACTGCAGAGGGATGACTTTGAGATTCTGAAGGTGATCGGGCGCGGGGCATTCAGTGAGGTGAGTCCTGAATGGCCTGGGAATGGAACTTTACTTGAGGTGGGCGGGGCCGAGCAGCCTTAGAAATTGATGAATGAGCTTTGAACCAAAGGCTGGGACGGAGTGGAGGCGGGGCTCGGGGTCAGTGGGCGTGACGCAAGTGGGCGGGGCCGAGGGTGGAGATAGGGGCGGGGTCTTGTCTGGGCGAACCTTTCTGTTTTTCCCTGCCCCCTCCGCTACTGGTCCCCACCCCCTCCGTGTTCCATCTTTAGGTAGCGGTGGTGAAGATGAAGCAGACGGGCCAGGTGTATGCCATGAAGATTATGAATAAGTGGGACATGCTGAAGAGAGGCGAGGTGAGGGCCGGGAGTGGGGGAGGTGAGGGAGGCCCAGGATCCGCTGTACCCACCTGTAGCTTTTCCTCCCTTCCTTACCACAGGTGTCGTGCTTCCGGGAAGAGAGGGACGTGTTGGTAAATGGGGACCGGCGCTGGATCACGCAGCTGCACTTCGCTTTTCAGGATGAGAACTACCTGGTGAGCTCCCGACCCGGTGACAGAGAGAGGGAGAGAGGGAGAGGGAAGGAGGGAGGGAGGAGAGAGAGAGAGAGAGAGAGAGAGAGAGAGAGAGAGAGAGAGACTCAAGGCGAGGAACTGGGGTTGGGAGAGGCAGCTGTAGACCTGGGAGCTGGTAGGATTGTGTCTTTACCTTGGAATGAAGGTGTCGCAGTAGGTAGAGGCCCTTCCCTGGAATGGGGTAGCTTTGTGCAACCTATGTGGGGTGCCAGGAGTACCTAGCTTCTGGAGGTCGAGAGGTGTCTGTGTTCTCTTGCCATAAACAGCTCGCCGAGTGTGCCTGTGTGTCTTTGTCCAGCAACATTCTGAGTGCACTGGGGTTTTTTATGGAGTCTGATCCATGCACATCCCTGGGCTGTTCTCGCTCTCTCTCTTTGGGTGGTCTCTACTTGGGGACCGAGTGTCTCTGAGAGTCTTGTGGGCTACCGACGTCCCCCTGTGACACACCCCCTCCCAGTACCTGGTCATGGAGTACTACGTGGGCGGGGACCTGCTAACGTTGCTGAGCAAGTTTGGAGAACGGATCCCTGCCGAGATGGCGCGTTTCTACCTGGCCGAGATTGTCATGGCCATAGACTCCGTGCACCAGCTGGGCTACGTGCACAGGTGGGCGTGGCGGGCTGAGGGGTGGGGGCCAGGGAGGGGTACCCTAGCTTGTGTGGGAACCTGAAGATTGGATCCCCATTGGGGGCGGGGTTCTAGATCTTGACCTGTAGAATCCGGGTGGGGGCGGAGTCTTCTGGAGGGGCGGAGCCTGGTGGACCGCGGGAAGGAGACTAGAGCACCCTAATCCTCTCTCCCTGTGCAGGGACATCAAACCCGACAACATTCTGTTGGACCGCTGTGGGCACATCCGCCTGGCGGACTTTGGCTCCTGCCTCAAGCTGCGTGCGGATGGAACGGTAAGCAGAGGGCCTGGAGCAACTCTGTCCACCAGTAAGGTGCATATGGGGACTTGGGTGGGGGCGGGGCTAGTAGAGCCTGGTCCCAAAATGCCCTGTGTACCAGGCCGAACTGGCAGGGGAAGTGTCTAAGCATTTAGGTCTGGTTGGCGCAGGTGAGGTCGCTGGTTGCTGTGGGCACCCCAGACTACCTGTCTCCTGAGATTCTGCAGGCCGTGGGTGGAGGGCCTGGGACAGGCAGCTACGGACCCGAATGTGACTGGTGGGCGCTGGGCGTGTTCGCCTATGAAATGTTCTACGGGCAGACACCCTTCTATGCGGACTCCACAGCTGAGACATATGCCAAGATCGTGCACTACAAGGTGAGTGCAGTGCCAGGAAAGCCCTGATTTGATAATGCACGCTCTCCAGGCTGACCTTTCCCTGCTCTTTCCAAACAGGAGCACCTGTCTCTGCCTCTAGCAGACTCGGGGGTCTCTGAGGAAGCTCGAGATCTCATCCAGGGGCTGCTCTGTCCCGCTGAGGTGCGGCTGGGACTGGATGGAGCAGATGATTTCAGGAAGCATCCTTTCTTCTTTGGTCTTGATTGGGAAGGCCTCCGAGACAGTGTGCCCCCCTTTACACCGGACTTTGAGGGTGCCACCGACACATGCAACTTCGATGTGGTGGAGGATGGGCTCACTGCCATGGTGAGCGGGGGCGGGGTACGTACCTGCAACAACTGATCAGTGGAGGGAACTTTCCAACTCCCCTCCATAGAATTGCGGTGGTGACCTCCCAGGGGCCTGAATTATTCTTACCCTAGAGCACTGCCATGTGTGTACTCATTGCTGAGGACACATAGGTGACCAGTCCCCAAGACAATGAGGTCTGATTGTGAGGAGGGCTGAAATGGAGTGTAGTATGTCAGGCTCTTTTGACCTTGGAAGGTGCTGGAAGATGCTGGAGGGCTTCCTGGAGGAGACTGTCTGAGGGCCAGAGGGATGTCATGAAAGTCAGGAGACCCTTTCTTTGGCTGACAGGCTTTCCTGGAAGGCTTGCTCAGCCCTGGATCCACCTACAGTAGAGAGAAACTGGGTGCCCTAAGGGAAGCAGCAACATACAAGAGAAATGGTGGAGGGGCCAGCTAGATGATGGGGTTGGCCTGGGGGGTTAGGCCATGATGAGGAGGTGAGGGGCCAGCTTACACGATGGGGTAGGCCTGGGGGGGTTAGGTCATGTTGAGAAGGGGATGAGGGGCCAGCTAGATGATGAGGTTGGCCTGGGGGGCTTAGGCCATGATGAGGAGGTAATGGGCCAGCCCTGACTGCTGCTGGTCACAGCCCTGCATGTCTTGTGTAGGAGACCCTGTCAGACATGCAGGAAGACATGCCGCTGGGTGTCCATCTGCCTTTTGTGGGCTACTCCTACTCGTGCATGGCCCTCAGGTAAGCACAACGGCCCAGTGCTCAGGGCCACTGTGTCCAGGCTTTCCTCAGTCAGGAAGTTTGCAGGATCAGTCCTGGGACCAAGGATTCTTAGGGACTCATACGTTTTTGGATTCAGTTGTAAAACCAGAGAACATTTGACTCATCCTTCCATAATCTTCCACCTATTAACTTTAATGCTTCTAGTACATAGTCAGATGACCCCTGGATCTTAGAAAGGAAGCCTGGAATTTTATAGTCACTTTAGGAACATAAACTCATGGAGTCACGTAACAATAAAGCTTTTAAATTTATTTATTGTCTTTTGTTTTTTGAGACAGGATCTTGGTGATACAGCCCAAGCTGGCCTTGGAGTGCTGTGATTATGGGCACACACCACCACACCTAGCCAATAAAGCATTTTAAAAGCATCTATTACTGCTGAGTGAGTGGTACATACCTGTATTCCAGCACTTAGAAGGTAAAGGCAGGAGGATCACAAGTTCAAGATGAGTCTGGGCAACATAAGTTTGAAGCCAGCTTAGGCTACATGAGACTCTGTCTCAAGAAACAAAAACAAAAAGCATCACAGGGCTTGGTGACACATGCCTTTAATCTGAGCACTTGGGAGGCAGAGGCAGGTGGATCTTTGTGAGTTCAAGGCCAGTCTGGTCTACATAGTGAGTTCCAGGACAGCTGGGGCTACAAGGAGACCCTGTCTCAAAAAAAAGACCAATCAATCAATCAATCAATCCATTATTGCTAGGTAGGGTAGTGTGTCTCAAAAGACCAATCAATCAATCAGTCAATCAATCAATCCATTATTGCTAGGCAGGGTGGTGTACACCTGTAATCTCACCACTCAGGAGGCTAAGGAGGATCATGACAAGGGTTTGAAGCCATTCTGGGCTACAGAGAGCCTTTCTAAAAATACCAAAAATAAATAAATGAATAAATCCACTATTGGTCAGGTATGGTGACACACACTTGCAATCCCAGCACTAGGGAGGTAGAGGCAGGAAGATCAGAATTTCATGGTTACCCTCAGCGACAGTGAGTTTGAGGTCAGCCTGGACCACATGATACCTTGTCTCAAAAAGAAAAGTACCAAAGACAATGAAACTTCAGAAAAAAGAGAGAAGAGTTTGCAAACACCCTCAATCCCCATTACCACAAAATAATAATGAATAGGTAGATCTTGTCACAAATAAATTAGAAAGCATGGATCAGGAAGAGGAGGCCTTTGCACGTGCTTACCATCCAGACATATCCCTGGCTCACACAGTGGTCACACAAGACACACAGCTTACTGGGAGGACAGCTTGTTTTCTGTTTGCATGCAGCACCCTTCAGTCATGAGCTTGTGCAGGGCCATGCAGTGAGGTGCGGTGGTGTCCACACGAGCAAGTCAGGATTTAACCCACAGTCAATTAGAACCATACTGCCTGGACAGCCAGCACGGCGGTTCCAGGGCTGTGAGGCCCAACAGGGTAGGACTTTGCTAGCCAGTGGAGGGGCATCAACCAGACCTGGGGGTTGATTCTCTTCAGTCTGCCCCTGCCTCTTGAACCCTGGGTTCTTAGACCTGCCCCATGCCCACAGGCTAGGGAGTCCCAGATCCTCCTCTTCTTCCTAGGGACAGTGAGGTCCCAGACCCCACCCCTATGGAACTGGAGGCCCTGCAGTTGCCTGAGCCATGTGTGCAAGTTCCCAGTATGGAGGCTCCGGTGTCCCCACCCGAGGAAGTGGTGAGTAGATAGAGGGCTTGTCAGGGACACATAGCCAAGGAGGCCAGGGCTGTCTGGTTGGGGTGTGCTGTGCCTGCAGTGCCAAGCTGTCAAGTACTTCACAGGTTATTTGCTGCACATGTCCCCATTTGGGCCTGACAGCACAGTCCTATAATCTTAGTCACTCAGGAGGCTCAGGCAGGAGGATCCCAAGTTCAAGGCCAGTGAGACCCTGTTTTAGAATAAAAAATGAAAGAGGATTTGGCAGCCTTCTGGAGGGGGATGTTGTGAGATGTGTCCCTGGCCTGGAAGTCATAGTGAAGGCACTATGGAGGAACTGGGGATAGCAGCTGGAGTCTGAGCACTGGCAATTGTGGAGGACTCCACAGGGACAGCAGAGTTCCCTTGGGTCAGTAGGAGGACCTCAAGGGGAGAAGCCCCCAGGTGGGCATGCTGGAGTCTTAAAAGTTACAGGTGGGTGGGTCCGTGGGAAGGAGGAGGGGCGGCCTGTGTGGATCCAGAAAGAAGCTAGGATTGAGGAGGCGGGACTGGGGAAGAGATTGAGCCAGCCCCAAATCCGATCCCCACCCTTAGGCTGAAGTGGCCGGCCCAGCGGCTGTCCCCACAGCAGCAGAGGCAGAGGTGGAGGCCGAGCTAACGCTGCGGGAGCTCCAGGAAGCCCTGGAGGAGGAGGTGCGCACGCGGCAGAGCTTGAGCCGGGACCTGGAGGCCATCCGCACCGCCAACCAGAACTTCGCCAGGTCCGGGTCACGGTGCGGGCCCGGGCAACCTTTGCAACTTTCTGTCCAAACTGGCAAGCTCACCCTCCTCATCTTCCCACAGCCAACTTCGGGAGGCCGAGGCCCGGAACCGAGACCTGGAGGCGCATGTTCGGCAGCTGCAGGAGCGGATGGAGTTGCTGCAGGCCCCGGGAGCCGCAGGCGAGTCCCTCCTCCGCCCCCTTCTCCCCCAGGGCGCCGGGTGGAGATCGGGGACACCTGAGGGAAGGGAGGGGCCCAGGCTGGGGCACGCCGCGCCACCGCCCTTCTCCGCCCCTCCACGCGCATACACCTCTTTCTTCTCCTTCCAGCTGTCACGGGGGTCCCCAGTCCCCGGGCCACGGATCCACCTTCCCATGTAAGACCCCTCTCTTTCCCCTGCCTGAGACCTGCTACCCACGCCCCGTCTAGATTTAGGGCTCACCGTCCTTGGGGGCTCCAGAGGAAAGCTGCCCTTCACCCAGCCCGCACCTGCCCACTCTCCCTGGGTGCAGGCCTCTTTGCCAAATCCTTCCAGGGGATCTCCCTAGATTCCCGCGACTTCCTGCATTGTCTCTCACCCCTCGGCTGAGGCCCGGGCTAGGCTGGGCTCCGATCGGGTCACCTGTCCCTTCTCTCTCCAGCTAGATGGCCCCCCGGCCGTGGCTCTGGGCCAGTGCCCGCTGGTGGGGCCAGGCCCCATGCACCGCCGCCACCTGCTGCTCCCTGCCAGGGTATGTCCCACGTCCCCCTCCCTGACCCCGCATCGCTCTGACCACTGAGCGCCACCACCGCTTAGCTGTGCCTGTGCGGGGCTCGGCCCACCACAGGGAGGGAGGGTGTTCGGAGAGCCAGTCAGCACAGGCCGCTAGGAAGCAGCCAATAATGAGTGCGGACGGGATCAGGCATGCCAGCAGACCTACCGTGGCTGCGGGCTGTGGGGCCCCTGCAGGGCTCCGAGGATTCCTGACGCATCTACGGGTGTAGGCGGGACGAGTCCCAGGAGCCAATGAGGAGCCCGTGGCCGTGCTGACCCCTCCCTCTCGCCCGCAGGTCCCTAGGCCTGGCCTATCGGAGGCGCGTTGCCTGCTCCTGTTCGCCGCTGCTCTGGCTGGTGCCGCCACCCTGGGCTGCACTGGGTTGGTGGCCTGCGCCGGCCATCTCACCCCAGTCTGGTGTCTCCCAGGAGCCATCTTCACCCCCTGAACCCTAAAAGCCCAGACCGGCCTCCATTCAGGCTACTTTGGAAGGCTGGGTGACCCGGGGAAGGCCCTGGAGCTTGCCTCTGTCTCCAGGTCCACACCCCTGCGATGGTGGGTCGCCCAGCTCCGCGCCTGTGATCCGGTCCCGAACCCTGGCGGCCGGGGAGGGAGGAGCAGGGCTGGCGCGCAGAAACCGGGTTCCCGGAGGGCCATGAGTGGGGCTGCTGCTGGGCGGGGATAGTCCATCGCTTCTCTCCTCCGCCCCGACGTGGATGGGCAAACTGCGCCCAGAGAAGGCAGCAGGCCTGGGCTCAGCCATCCGATTTTCACCCTTGACGCCTCCAGCCATCGCTCGTGAACTACAGATCCTTGCGCATGAGCCCCTGTTCTCTGGGGACGTTCCCTTCCCGCAGCGAACCAGGAGTACGACCTCCGCCAGCTCCCACGGGGGCCTTTTGCTTCGTCCAGTCCCGCTTTGGGGGTTCCCAAGACCCCTTCCTCACACTGCTGTCGGAGCACAGCTGCACACCGCCCCCCCCCAAGGCCGCGTGGATATTTATTGACCTTATCCTCCGACCCGCCAACAGGCTCCAGGACCCCCAGCACCCTGACCCACGTTTGGATGCACTGAGACTCGACATTCCTCGGTATTTATTGTCTGTCCCCACCTAGGACCCCACCCCCGACCCCTGCGAATAAAAGACCCTCTCATCCGCCCTAAGCCCTGGACTCTGAAGTGTCTCTGTAGTGACGAGGAAGCCGCCCAGGATGCCAATCAAGAGGCCAGGAGGGATAACCAATGGCTGGACAGGGAGCTAGCGGGACGCAAAGCGAACCAATCAGTTGGGGGCGGAAAAACTGGGGGGCGGGGCTTAAGTATCCAGCCAGTAGAAGAGGAGCAAGGAGCCGCTCGCAGGCACCGCCTCCCGCCCAGCTGTGGCAAAGCTGTGGCACTCGAGCATGGAAAAGTAAGGGGCTGCGTCGGCAGCTAGTGCGGCCCTCCTCTTTCCACTGCGCCTGCGCACGCCACGCGCATCCTCTCCCGGGACCTTCGCTCGAGAAAAGTTGCTGCAAACTTTCGAGTCCGTTTTCCCCGCCCCTCCTCTCAGCCAGATCCGCCTCTTTCCCCCCCAACTCCACGGAGCCGGGAATTCCGAAGGGCGGAGCGCGGCGTGGAGATGGGGAGTTGTGGGGGGCGGGGGGCGCTTCAGAGGACCCTGGAGACCGAAGCGTGCAGAAGCTCAGTGTCGGGGCGGAGGTGCTTCGCGCCCTTAACCTTGGACGGCCCGTTACCTTCTCCATTGTCCCGATGGGGAAACTGAGGCCCTGAGCCAGAGGCACACGCAGGGGGAGGCCGAAAGCGCGGCCTGAGACGGAGGGAAAACAAAGGGAGAACCACGGACAGCTGGGGAGGGGGCGGACACACTGACAGAGACCCGAAGGCAGAGCTGGCAATAGCGTTTGGGCCGGGAGGGGGGCGAGAAGAGCGCCTAGGGAGGGCGGGGGGCCTCCTTGAAGAGCCTGGCAGGGAGGGGGCTGGGGAAGCCCGAGGGAGGCGGAGAAGGAGGGAGGAACTTCCCAAAGTTGCAAAACATGGCTACCTTGCCTGCCGAGCCGAACGCGGGGCCGGCGGCCGGGGGAGAGGCGGTGGTGGCGGCGGCGGCCACCGAAGAGGAGGAGGAGGAAGCGCGCCAGCTCCTGCAGACTTTGCAGGCGGCCGAGGGGGAGGCGGCAGCGGCGGCCGGGACCAGGGCGGGAGAAGCGGCGGCCGGAGCGGAGGACTCCAGGTCCCCCGGCGTCCCGGGGTCGTCCCCCAACACCGCCGCCGAAGCGCCCACGGGCCTCCGCTTCTCGCCAGAGCAGGTGGCGTGCGTGTGCGAGGCGCTGCTCCAGGCGGGCCACGCCGGCCGCTTGAGCCGCTTCCTGGGCGCACTGCCCCCGGCTGAGCGCCTACGTGGCAGCGACCCGGTGCTGCGCGCGCGGGCCCTGGTGGCCTTCCAGCGGGGTGAATACGCCGAGCTCTACCGGCTGCTGGAGAGCCGCCCTTTCCCCGCCGCCCACCACGCCTTCCTACAGGACCTCTACCTGCGCGCGCGCTACCACGAGGCCGAGCGGGCCCGCGGCCGTGCGCTGGGCGCGGTGGACAAATACCGGCTGCGTAAGAAGTTCCCGCTGCCCAAGACCATCTGGGACGGGGAGGAGACCGTGTACTGCTTCAAGGAGCGCTCCCGCGCCGCGCTCAAGGCCTGCTACCGGGGCAACCGCTACCCGACGCCGGACGAGAAGCGCCGCCTGGCCACACTCACCGGCCTCTCGCTCACGCAAGTCAGCAACTGGTTCAAGAACCGGCGACAGCGAGACCGGACTGGGACTGGCAGCGGTGCGCCCTGCAAAAGGTGAGGGTCCCCGGGCGACGCATGGCCTGCCGTCCCGGGGACGTTCTGTCCAGCCGTCCTCCCCGGTGCCCACTGCTGGAGTCAGCGCGCGGTACTCCTCGGACACCAGCCCCTTACACCCCCAAGCGTCCGCGGAGCGCAGGGACTGAGCGTGGATGGTCCAGGCAGGCCCAGGATTCTCTGGGCAACAGGGTCCTGCGGGCAGAGGCCCTTGTCGCTGCACCCCAGGGTCCATTTGAAACCCATCAGTGTTTGGGACTGCAGGGTATTCAGGGAGGTAGTGAGAAAAGTGGGGAGCTCCCTAGAGGGGCAGTGGAAAGGGGGGTTCGCTTTGTGTAAGGCACACCGGGCGGAGACCCACCCTCAGGGCCTTTGCAACCTGGCCCTTGTGTGACCGTTACTCTTCCCCACCCCCATGCCCCCTCCGGCCCTAACAGCGTGGTCTGTCGCCTGTCTTTGTTGTGAAACGTGAACCTTCCCCGGCTCCGGTTTCCCTGTAACCCAAGCTCTTCCCCTCCCACCCTGAGCGCCTGGCCTCTTGCTCCCTATTCTGACGCCTGGGGGGAAGGACACTGGGAAGTCTGCCTTCTCACTACAGGCCACACGCCTGCCGACCCAGGGGACCTGGGACGCCTGGGTGCTGGGCTGCAGGCCAAGGTGATGGGAAAGTACGGCCTCTTCCCTCCAGCGTTAGCTTTCCCGCCAGTGTCACTCCAGGCCGGGCTTGTAGAGGCCCGGGAAGTTGGGGGGTGCGGGGGACGGTGTGCGTGTGGGGGTGCCCGAATGCTAAAATAGTTAACAGCAGTGCTGGCTGCCTGTGCTCCTAGGGGGAGCAGCCTTTAGGCCCACAACTTAACCCTTTTTTTCCTGCTAGCGAGTCTGATGGGAACCCCACTACTGAGGATGAGTCCAGCCGAAGTCCCGAGGACCTGGAGAGGAGTGTGGCCCCCGTGGCTGGGGAAGCCCCCAGCCAGAGCTCTATCTTCCTAGCTGGAGCCAGCCCTGCAGCACCATGCCCAGCCTCCTCCTCTATCCTGGTGAATGGGAGCTTCCTGGCAGCCAGCAGCCCCCCAGCAGTCCTCCTTAATGGCAGCCCAGTCATCATCAACAGCTTGGCCCTGGGGGAGGCCTCCAGCCTGGGGTCTCTGCTGCTCACAGGGGGAGGGGGAGCCCCTCCACCACAGCCCAGCCCCCAGGGCGCCAGTGAGACCAAGACTTCCCTGGTCCTGGACCCACAGACAGGAGAGGTTAGGCTGGAGGAGGCTCAGTCTGAGACCCCTGAGACCAAAGGGGTACAGGGGCCTGCTCCTGGGGCAACTGGAGAAGAAGCCCCAGGGACCCTGCCCCAAGTAGTTCCTGGCCCCCCATCCACCTCCACCTTCCCTTTGACCCCAGGAGCTGTGCCCACTGTGGCCGCTCCCCAGGTTGTGCCCCTCTCACCCTCATCTGGATACCCAACAGGCCTGGGCCCCACCTCCCCCCTGCTGAACTTGCCCCAGGTGGTACCCACCTCCCAGGTGGTGACCCTGCCTCAGGCTGTGGGGCCACTCCAGCTGTTGACAGCCGGGCCAGGCAGCCCTGTGAAGGTGGCAGCTTCCACGGGCCCTGCCAACATGCACCTGATAAACTCTGGTGTGGGAGTGACTGCCCTGCAGCTTCCCTCGGCTACTACCCCAGGTATCCCCTGCATTCCTCAGGCCTGGGTGGGCTGGGGGACCAGGCGTCTCATCCCTGATCCATCCTTGTGCTCTGAGCCCAGGCCTACTGCAGCTGAAAGAGCCCCAAGGACTGGTCTGCCTGCCCTTCAATATATTCCCCTCCTCTTCCAGCTCTCAACATCTCCTCTCCCCACAGGGAACTTTCTCCTGGCCAACCCTGTGTCTGGCAGCCCCATCGTCACCGGGGTGGCCGTGCAGCAGGGCAAGATCATCCTCACCGCCACCTTCCCCACCAGCATGCTGGTCTCCCAGGTCCTGCCGCCAGCCCCCAGCCTGGCCCTGCCCCTGAAACAAGAGCCAACCATCTCAGTGCCCGAAGGAGCCCTCCCAGTGGCCCCCAACTCTGCCCTCCCAGAGGCTCAGACACTGGGCTCCATCTCTGTGCAGCCACTGCCACCTGCCCCTGCTGTCACCTCTGCCACCAGCCTGCCCTTCTCCCCGGACTCCTCAGGTCTCCTGCCCAGCTTCCCTGCACATCTGCCTGAGGGTCTGATGCTGTCACCTGCAGCTGTGCCCATCTGGCCAGCAGGACTGGAACTGAGCACAGGGGTAGAGGGGCTGCTAGACACGGAAAAAGGACTGGGGACACAAGCCACCCACACTGTGCTGAGGCTACCAGACACTGATGGCCAGGGGTTGCTTCTAGGAGCCACAGCAGGGGTAGAGGTTGATGAGGGGCTGGAAGCTGAAGCCAAGGTCCTGACGCAGCTGCAGTCAGTGCCTGTGGAAGAGCCCCTGGAACTGTGACCTGGTCCTCACCACCTCCTGACAATGGTGCTCAAGGTGCTGGGACAGGACCAGGAGGGACCCTTGGGAAACTATACCCTCCAAAGTCCTACACTACAGCCCTCCACCCTGGACCATCTGCAAGCCTTCAAGAGCCAGGGGGACTTGCCCTGGTCAGGTGCTGGATGTCTCCTGATGGGATCCCTGTTCTTCCACTGCCTGCCGTGTGCATGGGGGTACTAGGAGTTATGCTTGGGATCTGCCCTCCTACACCTGGTACACTAGTGAGCTGAAGACCCTGCTAAGTGACCGATTTCCAACAAGGCACCATCACCCCACCTAACACTATTAATAGCTGTACTGATGCCCAGTGTTCCCAGATTGTGACCAGAGACTGACAGTCCCTTCCTACTGAGAAGGGACACCGGTGTGGGCAGGGACCCTTCCCATTTCCCTGGACTTGAGCCCTGGGATCACCTCCAGCCCCAGACCAAAGATTATGTTTGTCCCCCAGGGCAACCCTGACTTATGTCTAGTTTGTACTATAAATCTTTTATTTTTCTAGAACATGTTATGCCTCCATTTCAAAAAAAAAAATAAACACACAATAGAATCAAACAACTGACCCAAAAGATAACTAGAGACAAATACCTAGCTTGATGCAGTGGCTTGCTCTTTCTGTTAATGGTTTGTTTTTTGAGATGGGGTCCTGCTCTGTAGCCCAAGTTGACCTCAAACCCCATCTTTGCCTCAGCCTCCTGAGTGCTGGAATTGCAAGTGTGTCACCATACCCAAGACTTTCTGAGGTAAAGAGGGACTGAGTTCAGCCCTGTGGCTTGGGAAGGAGGTTCTGTAGATTGCAAAGGGCCTCTCAATTTGACTTATGTCAAAGGCCCATCCAAGGCCAAGGATTTGGGACATAGCTCCCCTTATCCCCAGCTGGTAACAAGGGTTCCATTTCATTTTAAGGCAATAGTTTAGAACCATTTCATTCTGGGCGCAGAGGAGCCCCTGCTCACATGTCACCTACATTTCATATGGGACATCCTTTTAGGACAATGGAGGGTGAAAAGGGCTGGAGGGAGGGGGTCATGCCCTGATGTACACGAGGCAAAGCACTAAGCCTTGGGGTCAGTAAATTCTCTTGTGCCAGGGGGGTAACTGGACAGGGAATCCACAGCAGTAGGTACTGAGGCCCAGGGGGAACAAACATGCCATCCTTAGCTCCTGTTTTCAAATAAGTGTGGGGACAGGGGGGATGGGGTAGAGCTGGGAGCCAAGGGGTGGCAGAACTGAGCAAGCAGGTGCTGCCCTTCACAGGTTGGGGGTGTAGGCGGTGAGGCCAGGTCCAGGGAGATGATGCTCACAGGGACCAGTCCCGGGATTACTTGGGCCTTCTCAACCAGCAGCTGGTAGAAGGGCTTGAGAATCTCTCCATCATCATCCTCACTGTTGGACCGCTCCCGCTTCACAATGCGATTGTGCTGGCGGCTAAACTTGCGTGCCCTAGTGCTGGAGACAGACAGGCAGGGCTTCATCACTCTGCTGGCAACCTAGGTTCCCCCACTAGTCCTGTCCCTAGCAGTGACCAAATCTGGGCTTCAGGGAAGCCAAGAGCTTTGGCCCCTGGCTTCCAGGAACTGATCTCTTGAAGGAACTCTGCCAGCAGCTCTTCACACAAATGGAGGAGGGGGTAGTTTCCAGCCAGTTTGGAAATGGGCAGGGGCAACCCCCCCGCCCCCCGAAGTTGGTGGAGAGGGCAGAGTTTGGAGAAGAGAAGAGACAGAGGAGGCCAAGTGACAGGAAAACAGGACCTGAGAAGCTCCATGTGGCAAAATAAAAGAAATGGAGGTTTCAAGTACCAAGACCCCTTCCCAGCCCAGGGCACCTCTTCACCTGTCACCCCAAGTCTTTCATAAGAATTTGTGACTCGGGTTGGGGAGATGGCTCAGTGCTTTTAAAGATGTTTGATCTGCAAGCATGAGGATCAGAGTTTAAATCTCCAGCACCCACATAAGAAGCAGGGCATGGCTGTATGTATGTACCTGTAACTCCAACATGGGGGTTGGGGGGCAGAAACACAGGCAGATACCAAGCTCTCACTGGCCAGCCAACCTAGCTGTAAAGGCCAGCTTCTGCTTCAGTGAGAGATCCTGTCTCAAGGCAGTAAGGCAGAGAGCAATAGAGGAAAACATTTGACATTTTGTTCTGGCCTCTGCATGCACTAGCATGGGTATGTATACCTGTATATTCTTGTGCACACACCACACACACATCACATATCATACACAAAGAAAAAAACCTTTGTGATCCAAAAATCCTCAGCCCAGCAAACTGCTTACAAGGTCCTGGCACCCACATGAGGCTCTGTGAGGGATGAGGATCAGAGGTCTGGGGCCTATGGCCCACCCATGCCTTCTGGAAGGCATTTCTTACCAATATGGTCTCCGCTCCTCTGGGGTCATCACTCGCCACACTTGTGCCAGTTCCTTGGTGGCAGATGTGGAAGCAGTCCCAGGACAGGCTCTGGGACAGGAAGGAGGGAGGTCAGGGGAGGCCTACCAGGCTCCCTGGCTTGGGCATAGGAACATGTTGTGGCCACACCAGGGCCTTTGCCCTCTTTTCTCTCCCAAGCCTTTGAGGCCCCTAATATATTCTCTGGAGAAAAGAGTCAAAGAAGAAATGTGGCTGTCCCTGGGAGCTTAGGTGAAGGCAGCCACTGCCCTATAGACCCTCCCCTTAAACCCACTCTTCCAGTGAGGACACCAGCTCTTCCTGTTATGGCTCTGCCCAACAGTGACAGGTCCAGGGCCCACACTTGATCCAAGTCAACCCCAAGGACATTAAGAGGAGTATGCTAGGGTGTGAGGCAGGACTGAGCCTGAACCTCCTGAGGACAAACTGCCACCAATGTGGCCCAGCATTCTGGAGATGACGTCAGCCTGAGACAGAGGGACAGGATTGATCTAGGCCCCCTTGAAGGCAGTTTTAAGGTGACCAAGGGCAATTAATGTCCTTTTCCCTGACATCTCAGGTTCGAATTCAATTCTCCTTCACATGACGGGAAGGCACAGGGGTATAGAGGCCACATGGTCTGGGGATGCATACAGGTGGTAAGCCCTCTCTATCTGTGACCACCCAGGGCCCCTCACCCACCGGATGTACTGCTTCCGGTTCATTCTGCAGAACATGATGAAGCCATTGACACACTTTTTCTTCACCTGGCTGGAGGCTTTCCTGCTGTCCTTAGGCCTCATGGGACCCTGGCTGGCCTGACCCCTCTGGGTCTTCCTGCCAGCTACCAGCAGGCCAGAGGATCGTTGGGTGGGGGTCCATGTGCAGTTTCTGTCCTCATCACTGGAGGTCTGCAAGCCCTGGGGGATGGCCTGTTGGAAGATATAGAGGTGAGTGAATGATAAGACAACCACCCTACCCGGGGAAGTAGCACCCTCTTACCTCTTCCTGCTCCCTCAGGGACTCTGTGTCTGTGGACTCTGAGCTGGAGCCAGAGCTGGAGCTAGAGCTGGACAGCACCCTGCTGTTCTCACTCATCGAGAGGTAGCAATGGTCCAGCGAGACTGAGGACCCTAAGTTAGGTGGGCCCCTAGGGCCCTTGGAGGGTGTGTCCTAAGCCAGATGAGGAGGAAGATAGTTGGGATGAGGCATCCTCCACTCACTGACTCCAGGACACACAGGATCATTAGAAAGAGCTCTGGTTATTCATTTGCCATCTCTACGCCCCTCAGGACATTTGAGGCAATGTTCCTGTGTTCCCAGAGGGGCAGTATCTTTCTCATCCTCAGTTTACCACTCACTGAGGAACTGTGATGCCTTAGACAGGTTTGTTTGCTGTGGGGTTTGTGTCTGTGTGTTTGACAGAGTCTCATGGAGCCCAGGTTGCCCTCAAACACCCAAGAGCTGAGATTATAGGAGTGCGCCACCAAATCTGGCCAAGTAAGTCTTAACCTCCCTGAGTGTGGAGTTCACCCATAGCAGAGTCCTCGAGGGGCTGAGAAGTGCCCCTTGCAGTGCTTAGAGCTCATGGAGAGCACACTATTGGCGTCTGGCTTTGTTTCTGCCTCTAACTCAGCCATTGCACTCTGAGCGGCTCGGATACCAAGACTATTCTCTCCAGCTGAGGCATCCTCGGGACCCTGTTCTGATTACAGTTTCCTCATGTATGAAATGAGGCCTTGAGACCCCTTTGCTTGGCAGAGTAGCTGTGAGTTTAGGCAGGTCTTTCCCAGGCTCCTGGTGGCAGCAGTGAGCTCAAAGGCAGATCTTGAGGGGCAGAGGGCTGACTCTAGAAAGGATGACCAGTGGGAGATGATGGGTGAGGGACAGAAGGCAGGAGGACAGGCCTACCTTCTCCTGGGAGACTGCCAGTTCACAGGCTGCAGGTGGAGGCTCAGGCTCTAAGAACACCTCTTCAAAGAGACCTGTGGAAACAGCACTAGCAGGACGAGATGCCTCTCTCAGTCTGCCCCTGCTAGCCAGAGTCCCCCTCTTTGGCTTTCCCCCTTGGGGGTTTCCTAACCCATGTCCAAATCTCACTCACAGGCCAGCTTCTGAGGGTACAGCAGCAGCTTCCTGCCCCTGGAGCTCCCCTTCACTACGGCCTGGTGGCCCATGTTGGGCTACAGGCCTAGCCTGGAAGGGATTCTTCTCTGGGCAATCCTTCAAAGCCCCCACCCAAGTACTTGGTGGGTGGGTTTCCCCACGTTTTGTCAATGAACAAAGTTCCCTCCCACCCTGGCAGCCCACCTTCAGTCAGAAAGCAGGTGTTGTCTTCCAAGACATGATCCGACAGGATTTTGCTTGGGGAACTGAAAGGGGAAGAGCTCAGTCCTAAGATCTCACTCAGGTGGTTGATCACATGCCAGGTACTGACCTGGGGAGACCCCAAATCCAGTGGGCTCCCTGCAAAGGAATCATGGGGCTCAGGGATGTGCTCAAGTCAATGCAGTAGCAGGTCATTGAGGAGTTAAGTGTCAGACACTGGGGAAAGACAGCTGTCATTCAGTCTTGGTAGAAGAAATTAAGAGTTATGCTGCTTGGCAGTATGTCAAGGATGGCAAAAAAAAAAAAAAGAAAACCTCATTATTGTAGTGCACCAGAGCCAACAGACTGAGAGTAGCGACCTGCAGCTCTGTGTTAAGAAAAATTCTGAGGATGGGCAGGATGGCTCAAACCTTTAATCCCAGCACTCAGGAGGCAGAGGCAGGCAGATCTCTGTGAACTCGAGATCAGCCTGGTCTACACAGTGAGTTTGAGGCTATCCAGGGCTACATAGAAAGACCTGTCTAAAAAACAAAAAAGAGAAAGAAAGATTGATTCTGCGCAGCTGGATTCGAGGGCAAAAGCAATGACTGATTAGCAATGTCTGCCACAGCAAGTAAGGGCAGAGTGATGGTAGGTATAGTGTGTTACCATCCCTATGCTTAGCAGATCCCCAACTGCTTTCCCTTGCCACATCTCTGAAGAAAGGTTCAAGAAGGCTCAAAGCCTACAAGGAGAGTTGTAGTCACCACTGGAGCTGTCTTCTGAGGTCCAAGCAGGAAGCCAGGGGTCACTGTCTGGTGTTTCTCTGTCTACCTCCTTGCTGGAATCGCACAACAGTAGCTCCTGCCTACAAGAGGTGGAATCAAGAGGCAGACACAGAGCCTTGGACTGGGCTTTGGGACTTTTGTGGAGCTCCCATGGCCAACTTTGCAGCCCCAGGGGATTTAATCAGCTGGGGCTTCCTCCCCAAAGAAACCTCAAGTCTTGTGAGGATAGATGAGCTGGCGAGCAAATGCTGCAGAGGTTCCAAGAAGACCAGAGGATAGGTGGGCAGGAGGGCAGTTTCCCAGGTGAACCAGGGGGTAGGTGCTTCAAGTAGAGGGACCAGAGTGGCAAGCTCAGAGGGGGCTGATGTGGAGACTGGAGAACATTTGTGCTGTTCAGGGGAAGATTGGTGTTAAGGGCAAGAGAGGGCTGTCATGATGACGTGAGTTACATTCTCCAATGCCAAGGAAGACTCTGGGCTCTACCTTGGGTTGAAGGCTTCAACCCTCACCTCCATGGTCAAGGTCTGTGTTAGGGAATCACTCAGTGGGGTGAGGACTGGCTGGATCGGGGAGAGGAGGCAGGGAGATCAGCAGGAGGCAATCCCCCATCCAGAAGGTTGAAGCCAGGCCTTCCTGGGACCTGGCACTAGCCAGTACACAATTGGACACAGACCACCCCTCATGGAGCCCTGACAAAGAATGTAAAACTTATTTCTCATGGGCCTCAGCCACACCAGACCAAACAAACACCTTAACCCCTGCCACTGGCACCCTGGGGTTCCCTCACCTGAGACAGGGCTGTGCCTTGCTGAGGAAACAGGACTTTTCAACTCTTCTCTGGACCTTAAAGTCAATGTTGGGCTCTCCATCCTGTGCCCTGACCCCATGACAGTCACCTAGGGGCCAAAGTGAGAATATACCTGTGAATGGTGCCATATTCCAGAGCTCCCAGATCCGGGGAAGGAGACAGACCAGCCTCTGGACCACATAGTTTCCCTCACCCAGGAAGTGCCTGTGCCTATGTAAGGCTGTGGTGCCTGAATCATCCTAGCATTGACTCCCAGATCTCTATCTGAAGCTGTGCTGAAGATCAGATCCTTAATATGGCATAACAACAGCCACAACTAGGAGAGCAAACAAGTAAGTATGGCCCACCTGTCCCTATGGTAAACCTTTACCGAAGTACAGCAGCATTCTTGTACTGATAGGTAAACTGAGTCACTATACTATGGAGTTGCCCCAAATCACATAGTTAGCAGGAAGTTGATGGCACCTCTGGAACCAGAGCATCCTGAGCACCCCAGCAAGTGTAAATGGCTCTGGACTACCAGCATCTGGGAATGTAGGGGACTCCTTCCTTGGATGAGAACTTGGTCACAAGCACAGCATGTCATGTCCTGGCTCCGAGGAGGTACCCAGGAAACGGGAGCCTTTCTCCAGGCACTTGGAGGCCTCAGAGCTAGTATGAGGTCAGGGACTGTACTCTTGCTTGCTTTCCTGACCTTCTGAGACATCCCCCTCCCTGGCTACAGTGCCCTGGACAAGCCACAGTCTGCCTGCTTCAGAGAAGCCTGGTGAGCAGATTCTGCCATCTCTAGCTCTGGGACCTGAAGCTTACATACAAGGGTAACCCTGATCATGTCCTCCTTTAAGGAGCCTGACATGAGAAAAGAAAGTTGGGAGAGAGACCATAGCCCTGTGAAATGAGACACACACCCACAGAGAGGGGGCAGGGGAGGGAGAAAGATACATAAATGAATGCAAGTTCCTTCTGGGGAAAGGGACCAACTTGTGATATCACAGGCAGCGATGTTCTCAATGTTCTCAGCCATGTCCAGGAATACCAGCTGGGCCACTCCATCACCTTGAGACAGGGATGGTGCAGTTCTGAGGTGTTTGCTAGGACAGTAGTGTCTTGGAGATGTGGCAGCCTCCCCTTTTCCTTCCTCCTGGCTTGGGGATAGGGTCACCAGTTTCTCAGGCTGCCCCAGAGTCAGAGAACGGTGAGGCTTCTGGGACCAGGTTGGGCGTTCTGAGAAAATGGGAGGTGGGGGGGCAATCACCAGGATAGCCTTAGATTATGGTTTAGGCAGGGCCTCCTTTGCTCTGGGCTGGCCTGGCTACTCACCAGCACCCTGGGTATACCCCAATCCTCAAGTAGAGGTCACTGCCCCCAAACCTGTCCACATGCCTCCAAACTCTAAAACAGTATGTTAGGCAGCTAGTATGACAGTCCACCCCAGACTAATGACTCCAGCTCTCTGGGTACATGGCACACTTAGGAAGCTCCTAAGCATCCCAATAATTCTGATGGGCAGGCAAGACATAACCACTGATTAGACCCCAGTCCCATTTCACAGACATGGACAATGAGGCCCTTAAGGGGCAAGGAAGTGAGAGTATGATGAGATTGGGCTGGAGCCCCTATACTTGGATCTTTCTTCCACCTCACCTTTCCCTCCCCACCCCATGTCCTAGTCCAAGGACAATAAATGATAACAGCAGCATTCTCCTTGGGGCTCTCCAGTGCTTGGCAGTGTCTATACAGGCTCTTGTGTAACCTTGAGATAGTCTGCTGTTGGTGCCTGTCCCAGTGAGGAAGAAACAGAGGCCCTCAGAGGAGAGCAAGCCACCTCAGGCCTCAGCGCATCTCCCAGCAGAGCCTGAGAGCAGGATTCAGGCATAGACTCCTGGCTCTGCAAGGCCCAAGCCCAACACATCGGTGCAGAAAGAACCTCCTCTCCTTTGACCCCAGCCTCCTGTTCTGCCTCCATGGACAGTATGCATGTACCTGACACTTGGGTGAACTTCTTGTTTTGAGGTGGTTTCTGACAGGCTCCCCAAAGGCGTGACTTCTGAAAGCATGGGGAGCTTGAGGGAGTAGAGTGTTTCCACCTGGCCAGGCCAGCAGATGGGTTCTGACCCAGCTCTGGGGGTAGAGAAGGACACAGGTTAGATCCCACTCCTAGTCCTGTATATCTTCTTCCTCCCAGACAAGACTTCCCAACCTGGCACTGGGGATGCTGTCAGGCAGACTCCACAAACAGGGAATCTGAGGATGAAGGGAGCAATGTGTTGCACAGCCAGGGGGAAGAAGTACAGGGAAAGCAGGCCTGCCACCCCAGCACTCAGGAGGCTGAAGCAGGGGTTTACTGCAAATTTGAGACCAATCTAGGCTATACAGCAAGACCCTGTCTCAAAAAACCAAAAGGAAAAAAAGAAAAATAGATAATAAATAAAACAAAAGCTGGTCATGATGGCACATGCCTGTAGTCCCAGCACTTGGGAGGCAGAGGCAAGTGGACCTCTGTGAGTTCAAGGCCAGCCTGGTCTACATAGAGAGTTCCAGGCCAGCTGGGGCTACAGGGAGACCCTGTCTCAAAAAGACCAAAAAATAAATAAGTAAAAATCAATCAATCAAGCAAGCAATCAATCAGTCAATCAATCAATCAAAGGCAAATCAACCTGATCAGGATGCTCCCTGGCTTAAATCTTCTGGTAATTCTCATTCCCTTGGTCCCCTCCATTGCCAAGTGGAGGAAGCCCTGATGACCTCATCCTCGCCCCCTTGTCCTGCTGTTCCCAGCCTCTTTTGTCCTCCTGCCCAAGTGTTTCACACCAGTCACAGTGTACCACACTGGGTGGCTGCATACTCCAGGTGCCATATTGTTTCTTCCTATGCATTAACATGTCTGATCCCCATAACAAACACAGGAGAGAAGTACTGGTGTGAGTTCCAATTTACATATGACAAGACTGAAGCCTAGAGAAATCTGAATGAGGACCAGGCTCAGAAGTTGGCATGCATCATCTCAGTGCTAGTTCCTGCAATCACATCTGCTGCTCACCTGTCCCTAAACATTCTGCACATGTCCTTTCATGCCCACATGTTCTTGCTCAGAGTGCTTATGCAGTCTGGCAGGGTTTCTTGTACTGTCCTTCAAGGCTCAGCTTTAGGTTCCCTCCTCGAAGCTCCTATACTGTTTTGTTTTGAGACAGTCTTGCTCTGTAGCCTAGGCTGGCCTGGAACTCACTATGTAGCCCAGGTTGACCTTCAATTCATGCAATCTTCCTGCCTCAGCCTCTGAATGCTAGATTAACAGGTGTGAGCCACCAACCCCGATTTTCCTACAGCACCTTGCATACCTCTCTGATGTAGTCCTCTCTCCCAGGAGAGGAAGATGGTCATTTGGTTGCCCTGACAGCCAAGACAACACATGATACAGAGTCAACAGGAAAAGATGGTTGAACTTCTTACCCACAAGTCCACCTTTCCCATTGCCGATGTGGCTCTTGAGCAAGGTCTTGGTCACATCAATGCTTCTCTGGAGGTATTGAATGTAGTGCAGGACATGCAGCAGGATCTCCTTCTGCAGAAAGACAGGGTTGAGAGTTGGGTGTGTTGCCTGTCGTCCCAGCTCCCTCCCAAGGCAGGAGGATCATGATTTGAAGCTAGCCTGGGCTGTATAGTGTGAGCCTCTGATATGCCCAAAGGCCAGGGCTCAGAACAGGGTGAAGATCCTGAGGAACAAAGATAGGAAGATCCAGCATCCCACTTCCCACAAATCCCCCAGCAATGTCTCACCTGGTAGAGCCATTCCTACTCTGCTCTTTAGCCCCCATCTTGTCCAGTGAGCTAGAGGTTAAGCTGAAGAAACTAAGGCTGAATGAGAGGAATCTGGGGAATTGAGGAGGCAGAGCTAGAACCTGAACCTAGGGCAGGCTGCTTCTGGTCCTGTTTACGGATACTGGTCAGTTTCTGGCCCAAGCCCTTTGCTCAAGCAGCATTCCTTATCCAGCCTCCTTCTTCCCACAAGCTCCCTCACTAGCCTGCTCCTTCTTGGAGCTTTAGCATGGTGGCCTCTCTTCTAACAAGGGCCTGCCTGAACCCTCTGGCCCAGGCTGGATCAGCATCCCTAGTCTGGGTGCTGGACTTTGGCCTCTTCCACTTCCCCATTAGCAACCCTGTTTTCTGTTATCTGTGGGCATTGTGTTCTCTCCCATTGACCTTGAGCTATTTGATGGTGAGATTGTTGCTAATTTAATTCCATATTCCAAGGGCACAGAATGGAGAAGTGGCTCAGCTAGGAACTCTTAAAGGACAGATTTCGTCTCTGCACTCAGCAGGATGCTCCTGGCCAGCACTAAGGGACCACCCACCCTACCACTGAATGCCTATTGAGCTGCTACTGGAGACACAAAGCTAAAAGCCAGAGGGCAGGCATGTTGGGGTGAGGCAGCCACAGTGCTTCCACAGACCTATGTTCCAATGAGGACAGTACACCCAAAACAACTCAAAGACTATTCGAAACTGTTGACCAGTGGTATTACTGCACACCTGCAATCTTAGCACTCAGGAAGCTGAAGCATAATAATAAATTCCAGGTCAACCTGGACTACATAGCAAGACTCTGTCTCAATATCTCAAAAAAGGAAAAAGAGACCTCCCTCCCCATATACAGTAAAGAAAGAAAATGTTCCCCCCGACATACATACGTTTTAAAAAGGCTTATTATGGAGCTGGAGAGATGGCTCAGCGGTTAAGAGAGCTGACTGCTCTTGCAGAGGACCCGGGTTCAATTCCCAGCGCCCACATGGCAGCTATGAACCGTCCTTAACTTCAGTTCCGGGAGAATCCGAAGCCCTTTTCTGACCTCTGCAGCACTGCACGACATGGGTGCACTCATATACATGCAGGCAATACACTTGTACACATAAAATAAAAATAATAAAATAGCCGGGTGTGGTGGTGCATGCCTTTAATCCCAGCACTTGGGAAGCAGAGGCAGGCAGATCTCTGTGAGTTCAAGGCCAGCCTGGTCTACATAGTAAGTTCTAGGACAGCTGGGGCTACAGGGAGACCCTGTCTCAAAAAAAAGACCAAATAATAATAATAATAAAATTTTTTTAGAAAAAGGCTTAGTAGCTGGCCGTGGTGGCCCATGCCTTTAATCCCAGTACTCGGGAGGCAGAGGAAGGCAGTTCAAGGCCAGATGGTTTACACAGCAAGTTCCAGGCCAGCTGGAGGTTACAGGGAGGCCCTGTCTCAAAAAGACCAAAAAATAAGAAATAAAAATAAATTAAATAAATTTAAAAGATAAAAAAGGCTTAGTGGATCTTGAAACTGCCTTCAAAGGGGTCTAGAGAGCTTAAATGGGGGGGAGGGAGAGAGGGAGAGAGGGAGAGAGGGAGAGAGGGGGGAGAGAGGGAGAGAGAGAGAGAATTTTCTGAAAAGAGAGAGAGAGAGAGAGAGAGAGAGAGAGAGAGAGAGAGAGAAACATAGCTAGACTGTGTGTTTTTAGAGAAGATACTTTTTTAGATTAGTATTTCTAATACCAGGCTTGGAACAGTTGACATTCAGTAAAACTAAGCCTTTGTAGTAACAAGTGTTACTAAAGGTTCTATGCAGAAGACAACTGGGCTCTGTTGCTGATTTCAAGATTGGAGGTCAGAAGAGGTGTTGGATTCCTGGAACTACAGTTACAGATGGTTGTTAGCTGCCATGTGAATGCTGGGAACTGAACCCAGGTTCTCTCGAAGAGTAGCCAGCATTCTTAACAGCTAAGTCATCTCTCCAGTGCCTCAGTCTCTTTTTAAAAAAAGTTTATTTATTTATTTATTATTGTATGTTTTGAGCGCATGTAAATACCCTTGTACATGCAATGTCGATGGAGATAAGAAAGAGGGCTTCAGATCCCCTGGAACTAGATTTTTCAGAGGTTGTTAGTCACCCATGTGAGTGCTAGGACCTGAACCTGGGTTCTCAGGAAGAACAGCCAGTGCTCTTAACCACTAAGCCATTTCTCCAGCCCTTCCATCTTTTTATTTTTTGAGACAAGTTCTCACTGTGTAGCTCAGGCTGGCCTTTAACTCATGATTCTCCTGTTTGAGCCTCCCAAGAGTTGGAATTAAGAGGAATGAGCCACTAGACCCAGCGAGAAGGCTGTCTGGGCACTGTAGGAACTTGAGCTTGGTGGTGACAACCAGAGGGTCAAATCCCAGAGATCAGTTGAATTGGTCAGAACAGAGAGAATTCATTCAGTCATTCAACAAACGTATACTGAACACTGAGTGACCAACTGATTAAAGGCACAGACCTATGGAATGAGATTCTCATTCACATTCTCTTTCTCTCTCTTTACCCCCGAACCATTGCCCAGTGGGTTACTTCTGGGCAATCCTTCAGGAATTCAGTTTCATTAAACCAGAAAGTAAGATGCTCATACATCTCTCTCACAAGCCTTGCAGAAAGTAAGCTGTATTGCCCGACATGGTGGCATATGCCTATACCCTCAACACAAGAGGCAGAGGCAGGAGGACTGCCATAAGTTTGAGACCACCCAGTGCTATAAAGCAAGTACCAGGTCAAATGGATGCACAGTGAGATCCTGTCTCAAAGTAAGAAAAGAATGTGGGCCTGTAAGATGGTTCAGGGGTAAAGGTTCCTGCTGCCAAGCCTGACAATCTGAGTTCCATCCATGGAACCCACAGAGTAGAAGAGAACTGCCTCAAGTCCTCTGACTTCCACACATGCACCATGGAATGTGCCCCCCACAAATAAATAATATATTTTGTGTGTTCTTGAGATAGGGTCTCCCTGTAGCCCCAGCTGGCCTGGAACTTTCTATGCAGACCAGACTGGCCTCGTACTGCTTCCCAAATGCTGGGATTAAAGGCATGTACCATAATACCTGGCCCAAAGATAAATTTTTTAAAAAAGGCATGGGGATGCTTAGGTGCTTAGCATTCAAAATCAGATTCCAGGAATTCACAGTAAATTGGGTTTTAGTTTTGTTTTGTTTGGGGGGGGGCAGTTGGGGGGAGTTGAGACAGGGTTTCCCTGTAGCCACTGTTAGAACTACTATGTAGACCAGGTTGACCCTGATCTCACAGAGATTCACCTGCCTCTGCCTCCTAGGTGCTGGGATTAAAGGCATACACTACCATACCCAGCCAAATTTGCAGTAATTTGGGAGCAACAGTTATCATTATTTTCTCTGTGTTAGGTCCTGTGGATGCTGGGGAGAGAAAGTTCTTCAGCCCTTGCCCTGGCAGAATTCACAGTCTAAAACGCATCAGAAACGAGGAACAGAGGGACTGGCCCAGAAGTTAAGAGCACCAGCTGCTCTTGCAGAGGACCCAGGTTTGGTTCCCAACACCCACATGGCCACTCACAACCACCCAGAACTTCAGATCTAGGGAATCTGACACCCCCTTCTGGCCTCTGCAAGCACTGCATGTATGTGGGGCACTTACCAACATGCAGGCAACACACATACACATAAAAATAAATTTTAAAAAAGAAACGAGGGGCTGGAGAGATGGCTCAGCAGTTAAGAGCACTGACTGCTCTTGCAGAGGACTCGGGTTCAATTCCCAGCACCCACATTGCAGCTATGAACCATCCTTAACTCCAGTTCCAGGGAAATCCGAAGCCCTCTTCTGACCTCCATGGCACTGCACGACACAGGTGCACTCACATACATGCAGGCAATACACTCATACACATAAAATAAAAATAAAAAATAAAATATTAAAAAAATAAATAAAAAGAGGGCTGGGGTAGTGCTCAGTGGTCTTGCCCTTGCATAGTATGCACGAGGCTAGTATAATCTCTGGAACCTTAAAAACAACAACAAAAAATTGTAGACTGAGGCCTGGAGATAATTCCAAAGGAGTTGGTCATCTTTTCAGTTATGAAATGCTAGACTCTCATTCCTTGAGGGCAGGAACTGTGTCCCTCTCCACTCTGGTTTCCTGGGAGCCTATGACCAACAGCACCTAGGCATACCAAATATGCAAATGCTTGAGAACACAGAAAAAAATTCCCCCAATAGTCACGTCCCAATTATAAAGACAGCCACATCCCAGTCCCCTTATGAGTTGGTTGCCTTATATGGCAAAGGGGACTTTGCAGATGTCACTGAGTTAAGGATCTTGAGATGGAGAGATTACTCAGGATTATCTACATGGGCCCAGTGTAATCATGAGGATCTCTGTAAGAGGGGGGCAGGAGGGCCAAACTGTTGGTTTTTAGTGAGGCAGAGTGTGTGAACTGCCTCTGAAAGTTGGCAAAGGAAAAGACAATTTGTTTTCCCCTGGAGTCTCTAAGACCATGCTGATACTCTTTCTCTTTGTAGCACTGAGGATTGAACCCAGGGTGTTGTGCATGCCAGGCAAGTGCTCTATCATCAAACTACATTCTCGGTCCGCTAGTTACATTTTTATCTTGAGACAGGGCCTCACTAAGCTGCCCAAGGTGGGTTTGAACTCACTCTGTAGGCCAGGCAGACCTTGAACTTGCAAGTCTCGTGTCTCAGTTTCCCAGGTGTTGGGATGAAAGACATTTGTCATCAGGCTGCATTTGTTCCCAAATATCAAGAATGAAACCTAGAGCTTTGCACATGCCAGGCACTCTGCCGCTAAGGTATATCCCTAGCAGTATTTGTGTCCTGCAGTATTGCTAAGTAGCAGGAGTTATCTTTCTTTTTTTTACAACTAAGAAACCTGAGGCTGAGAGAGCAGAGGAGTCTCAGGCTGAGAAGCTGGAGGCTCAAACCCTGCTGTCTGACCTCTGCCTGGACTTTTCAATTCCAAGTTCCCTCTGCTTCATTTTGGGTATGTGTGTACACATTTATGTGGGTACACAGGTGTGCATGCGCATGTAGAGGCCAATCTCATGTCATTTCTCAGGAGCTGTCTTTTTATTTTTTCTGAGACAGGTCTCACTGGGACTAGGGCTCACTGATAGGCTAGGCTAGCTGGCCAGTGAGCCCCAGGGATCCTCCTGTGTCTGCCCCTCCTTGTGCTGGATTATGAGTATGACACCTGGCTTTCTATGTGGATTTTGGTGATGGAACTCGGTTCTCATGCTTGCACAGCAAGGTCCAACTACACCATCTCCTTAGACCTCACCTCACCTCTTTTCATAAAGAATCCCACAGGGCTAGGGATATAGCTCTGCGGTAAGGCATTTGCTTACATGGGATGAGGCCCAGACTTGCAACCCTAGCCACAAAAAGAAGAATTCCCAAGGGATCTTGAACCCCATGGGATCATGGACTCCCAGAAATTCTGTTCAGAAAGGGACCACTACCATTTCAAGGCTGTCACTGAAAGGACCTGTCTAGGTTTCTGAGGGCAAGTCCCTACTTGCTCCTATGTGACCCCCCTGCCTCCCCGCCTGCCTCCTTTCCTTCAGTCCCCACACCTTGGTGAGCTTCTTGTTTCTGGTCTTCAGAGTCATGGGGATCAGCAAGGCCAGCTCTTGAAGTTTGTTCGTGTGGTTTTTCTTATCTTTCCTGTTTTGGGATGAAAGATGGTTTTGGTTAAGACATCTAAAATTATTTGGAGACAAGGTGATCCTTCTGCCTCAGCCTTCCAAATGCTGAGATTATAGGTATGAGCCACACCTGACTTTAAATTTGGATTTGGCACCTGCTCCCAAACCTCCTGTCTCATGTCAAGGGTATCTGCCACCCCTGGGACAGTCAAGAAAGTCTCAGGCATCATCAGCCTTTACCATTTCCTTTATCTCCTGGACCCATATGTGGCTAAATTTTGCCTATTCCTCTTCCTTCCCCTTCTCTTCATTCCCTAATCCCTGCTGTAGCCCATCTTGACAACCTCATAGTCTCCCAGCCTCCCTTCTGGCCTCCTCCACCCATACTCTCTACCTGAGGCAGTGGGAGCTTTTCTGAAACAAATCTAATCATATTACCCCCTTGATTCCCCTCCGTGTCACACCATTGCTAAGGAGCAAGTTTGTTTATCTATTTTGGGGTGGGGGTAGATATAAGGTCTTGCTATGTAGCCCAGACTGGAGTCAAACTCATGGTAATCCTCCTGCCTTGGACTCTCAAGAGTTGAGATTACAAGCATGTACCACAACACCTGGCAAAGGTCAAGTTTCAACTCTCTGTGTTAAAAAATAATAAAGTAAAAATAAAACCTTTGTGTGACTCATGCACCCCTATCTTTCTGGCTGAGCTGGCCACTCTGGTTCTACTCTGACTTTGACTCTTTCACACTGACTGACCCTTATTGTACAGGGAGGGCAAGCCGAATGCTCCTGTACTCACATCTCTGATACCCACCCCAGGAAGTCTGATGGGTAGGGGGCACCACTCTGTCCCTAATCCTACCACCCTGTGGGAACTCAATGAATGAGTCAATAAAATAAGGGTATGAAACCAGCTGGTATGGGGCACTCCCAGGGCCTCATTCCTGAATTCAGAATTCATGAGCTACCCAGGCACACACAGTGCCACCCCTCTCTTCTGACAGACGGAGCTACAAAGATGCTGAAATTTCTCTCCCAAATTACACAAAACAGCTGCCTTGGGGCTTCTGTGGGGCTGCCAACACCTCCATTACCCATTACCATCAGTTCTCATCCCATCTTCCTCAGGACCCACTTCAGTTGTTCTCGCTCATGCTTTGCTCCCCTCAAATGTCCACAGTGTTACTTGCGGTATGGCCACACCAAAACACTCCCTGCATGCATTACAGGTGTCAGCTGAGCACCATGCACAGAGCACCATGGAGAGGAAGAGGGTTTCTTCAGTCACTGCCCTTGGGAGGTGGGGTTCTATGTGGAGACACACTCATCTTCCTAACCAAACTCTAAATTCCTAGAAGAATCTTTCTGGGCTGGGAGTGTGGTTCAGGGGAAGAGCACTAGTGGAGAATTCCCCAGTGAGAACCAGGCAAGCTGGCATCTGCTTGTCGTCCCAACACTTAGGAGGTAGAGGAAGGTGGTTCAGGACTTCAGGGCCATCCTAATTTACATAGTGAGTTTAAGGCTAGTTGGGCTACATGAAACCTATTATCAAAAAAATCAAAACAAGGGCTGGAGAGATGGCTCAGCAGGTAAGAGCACTGACTGACTGCTCTTGCAGAGGACCCGGGTTCAATTCCTAGCACCCACATGGCGGCTATGAAGCATCCTTAACTCCAGTTCCAGGGGAATCTGATGCCCTCTTCTGACCTCCAAGGCATTGCATGACATGGGTGCACGCACATACAGGCAGGCGATGCACACATAAAAAAAAAAAAAAATAATAAATCATCAAACCCAAAAAACCAAAAATAATTTACCAGTGAGGGGCTACTTGCCTAATATGTCTGAGACCCTGGATTCCATTCTGAGCACTGCAAACAACAACAACAACAACAACAACAACAACAAAAACCCCAAAGAAAATAAAAAGAAAAAAAAGGTGGGGCAGTGAACCAAACAAGGGCCTGTAGAGGCCTGGTGAGCAAGGGCTCTTGTCAATGTGATGACCTGAGTTCCATCTCTGGAACCTACATGGTGGAAGGAGAAAATAGACTCCTGCAAATTGTTCTTGGACCTCCACACAGAACAAATGTTAAAAAACAACATCAAAGAAAATCTTTCTTACCCATTCATTCAGCAATCACTTACTGAACACCCACTATGTGGCATAGACTGTGATAGGTGGCAGGGATCAAAGCATATAGAATACAGTCCTGGGGCTGGGGAGATGGCTTCTCAGTTAAGAACAACTGACTGCTCTTGCAGAGGACCTGAGTTTGATCCCCAGCACCCACATAGCAGCTAATAACTATCTCTAACTCCAGTTCCAGGGGATCCATTGCCCTCTTCTGACCTCCACAGGAATTTCATGACATGGGTGCACTTATATACATCCAAGTAATACACTCATACACATAAAATAAAATAAAAATTATATTTTTTTGTTGATTTTTGACAGGGTCTCCCTAGCCACAGCCTACCTGGAAGTCATGATGTGAACCAGGGTGGCCTCGATCTCACAGAGCTCTTCCTGCCTCTGCCTCCTGAGGACTTGGATTAAAGGTGCACGCCACCACGCCCAGCATAAAATAAACTTTTTTTTTTTTTTTTAAAGAATGCAATCCTTTGGAGCAGACATCCAGAGATAAAGTCACTAATCACACTACCAAACAAACATAAAACTGCAACTAGGACCACAATGAGTTATGTAAATTTTGAGGGGACAGTGCAAATGAAAATTTGGGGTAGCTTGTTTAAATATTAGGAGTTTCGAGATGGGGGAGCAAAGCATTAGACTGCTCATTTGGATATTTTTTTCCTTTTGTGTGTGTGTCACTGTGCGCATGTGGACACCAGAAGTTGACACTGGGTGTCTTCCTCAGTTACTTTCCACCTTAGTTTTTGAAACAGGGTCACTCAATCTGGAACAGAGTAGCCTCAAGGATGAAGTCTCCATCTCCCTAATGCTGGGATTACAGGCATGCGCCACCATCCCCACCCTGCCCACTTTGGGACAGGGTCTCTTTCTAAACCTGGAGTTTGATGGCTCAGTCGGAATGACTGGCCAGTGAGCCTCAGGGACCTTTCCACCTTCACCTACAGTGCTGGATTGACAGCCGTGTGCTACTGCACCCACTTTTCACATGCATTCTGAGGGATCAAACTCAGACCCTTATTCTTTGTATGCCAAGTACTTTACCAAGTGATATATCCCCCCAACCTTATTTATTTGCATGGTAGTGCAAACCTGTAATCCCAGTACTTGGGAGACTGAAGCAGGAGGAACGCTGTGGTTTAAGGCCAGCTTGGGCTAGAGTGAAACTCTGTCTCAAAAAAAAAAAAGAAAGAAAAAAAAGAGTGAGGCGTGGTGGTGCATGCATTTAGTCCCAGCACTGGGGAGTGAGAGGCAGGTGATCTCTGTGAGTTCAAGGCCAGCCTGGTCTACATAGAGTTTTCCAGGTCAGCTGGGGCTACAGGGAGACCAAAAAGACCACAATAAATAAATAAATAAATAAATAAAATTTTATTTATTATTTTAGCGTTATGTGTATGAGTGTATTACCTGAATGTATGTAAGAGTACCCATGTCATGCAATGCCCTTGGAAGTCAGAAGAGGGCTTTGGATTCCACTGGCTTATGGACAGTTAACTGCCATGTGGGAGCCTTTAATCCTAGCACTGTGAGTTAGAGGTCAGCCTGGTCTACATAAGGGAGTCCAGTTGAGCCAGGGCTACGTAGTGAGACTTTGTCTTAAAACAACAACAAACAAACAAAAGAACCTCAGAATGGGAGCTGGGGATGTAGTTTAGTAGTAAAGTGCTTACTTTGCATGCCTAAGGTACTAGTATCAATACCCAGCACTGAAAGAAAAGAAACAATAAAAACAAAGAAACAACAAACAAGAAAAAATCCCAAGAACATAAAGCCTGAAGGGACTTTAGAGGTTACTTTTACCAATCACCTCAGCAGTCTCTCATCTGGGAAATGGCAGTGACAGCCTCACTTTCTTATGGGGTTATAGTAATTACCAGATACAATTAAAGAGCTAAGCAAACAATCTGGCAACAGTAAATGTCCAGTAAATACTTATTCAAGCTGAGTGGCTGGAGCTGTAAGGTAGATGGAAGAAGCCATTACCTGTCACTGGGATCCCAGGAACTAGCTCTGAGCTGATTAGGGAAACACAAGGCTCTGCTGGAACCCAACATCTGCAAGGAGGAAAAAGAATTATTAGTGACCTCTGGGATTCCAGAATGAATGGGCCGCATAATGGCCTTTTTCTCCCACGGTGCTTTTTTAACAGCACTCAGAGATCCTAAAATAGGATATAACCATGGGCTTAGAAACCTAAATTAAAAACCCCAAACTCGAAATAGAAGATCACAAATCCCAAATGTTAAATTCAGGCTCTTAAATCATGATTTGGATCTGAACAAAACCAAGCAAATTCCCAGACTTTGACTTCAGAACTATAACATCAATAATGGGAGGACAGAGGCTGCAACAGAGACTATCTAGCCTGAAAACTGTGGCTCAAACTGTGCTTTTCTTTTTTTCTCTTTTTTTTTTTTTTTTTTTGAGAAAGGGCTTTACTATGTAGCCCTGGCTGCCTGGAACTCACTATGTAGATCAGGTTGGCCTTTAACTCACAGAGATGCCTGTTTCTGTCTCTTAGTGTTGAGATTAAATTCCTGTGATACCATACACAGATATAGACTGTGACATTAACATAAGAAAAAACTGATTTTAAAATCCCAAAGTGAGGACCTAGAGCCTAAAAAAGAACCCTTAAACTTACAAACAGTGAAAATTGAATACTGATAGCCTAGATCTGCAAAATGTTGGCTTTTTACCATCAAAAAATCAAGATCCTAATGATTTTATGACCCTAATCATAAAATCAACATCATAAACTACATTTAAAAATATTTTTAAATTAAATATAGATTCTAAAAGGCAATCTCGTCTCCTAGTTACTCAAAAAGAACAAAAAGAACTTCCCGGATTCTCACAGAAGATCCCAAGTGTTCAGACACTCAAAAAGAACTTTCCAAAAATTCTAACAGGTGATTCCAGGTCTCCAATGCCACTCAAAAAGAACTTTTCAGGCTCTAACAGGATATCCCAAGTATCAGGTGCCACTCAAAAACAAAAACAAAAAAACAAAACAAAACAAAACAAAAAAACAAAAAAACCTTTCCAGGTTCTAACAGGAAATCCCAAGTCTCCAGACGCTCAAAAAGCACAAAAAGAACTTTCCAGAACTGAATAGGAGACCCCCCAAGTCTCCAGACACTCAAAAATCACAAAAAGAACTTTCTGGAACTGAACAGGAGATCCCGCATCTCCAGACACTCAAAAAGAACTTTCCAGAACCAAACAGGGGTGCCCAAGTCTCCAGACACTTGAAAAAGAACAAAAAGAACTTTCTAGATTCCAAAAGGAGATCCCAAGTCTCCAGACACTCAAAAAGCACAAAAAGAACTTTCTGGAACCGAACAGGAGATCCCACAGCTCCAGACACTCAAAAAGAACTTTCCAGAACCAAACAGGGGAGCCCAAGTCTCCAGACACTCAAAAAGCACAAAAAGAACTTTCTGGAACCGAACAGGAGATCTCACAGCTCCAGACACTCAAAAAGAACTTTCCAGAACCAAACAGGGGAGCCCAAGTCTCCAGACACTCAAAAAGCACAAAAAGAACTTTCTGGAACCGAACAGGAGATCTCACAGCTCCAGACACTCAAAAAGAACTTTCCAGAACCAAACAGAGGAGCCCAAGTCTCCAGACACTCAAAAAGCACAAAAAGAACTTTCTGGAACCGAACAGGAGATCTCACAGCTCCAGACACTCAAAAAGAACTTTCCAGAACCAAACAGAGGAGCCCAAGTCTCCAGACACTCAAAAAGCACAAAAAGAACTTTCTGGAACCGAACAGGAGATCTCACAGCTCCAGACACTCAAAAAGAACTTTCCAGAACCAAACAGAGGAGCCCAAGTCTCCAGACACTCAAAAAGCACAAAAAGAACTTTCTGGAACCGAACAGGAGATCTCACAGCTCCAGACACTCAAAAAGAACTTTCCAGAACCAAACAGAGGAGCCCAAGTCTCCAGACACTCAAAAAGCACAAAAAGAACTTTCTGGAACCGAACAGGAGATCTCACAGCTCCAGACACTCAAAAAGAACTTTCCAGAACCAAACAGAGGAGCCCAAGTCTCCAGACACTCAAAAAGCACAAAAAGAACTTTCTGGAACCGAACAGGAGATCTCACAGCTCCAGACACTCAAAAAGAACTTTCCAGAACCAAACAGAGGAGCCCAAGTCTCCAGACACTCAAAAAGCACAAAAAGAACTTTCTGGAACCGAACAGGAGATCTCACAGCTCCAGACACTCAAAAAGAACTTTCCAGAACCAAACAGAGGAGCCCAAGTCTCCAGACACTCAAAAAGCACAAAAAGAACTTTCTGGAACCGAACAGGAGATCTCACAGCTCCAGACACTCAAAAAGAACTTTCCAGAACCAAACAGAGGAGCCCAAGTCTCCAGACACTCAAAAAGCACAAAAAGAACTTTCTGGAACCGAACAGGAGATCTCACAGCTCCAGACACTCAAAAAGAACTTTCCAGAACCAAACAGAGGAGCCCAAGTCTCCAGACACTCAAAAAGCACAAAAAGAACTTTCCAGATTCCAACAGGAGATCCCAAGTCTCCAGACACTCAAAAAGCACAAAATGAACATTCTGGAACTGAACAGATCCCAAGTCTCCACTCACAAAGAACAAAAAGAACTTTCCAGATCTGAAAAAGCAAAGCCACTCAAAACATAAAAGAATGTTCTAGGCTGGGCATGGTGGCGGTGCATGCCTTTAGCCCTACTGAGGCACAGCCAGGTGGATCTCTGTGAGATTGAAGCCAGTCCAGTCTACACCACGACTTCCAGGCCAGCTGTAGCTACAGGGATACCCTGCTTCAAACCCTGCCCCCCCCCAAAAGAACTTTCTAGAAGTTCAATTGTAGTTTTCAGCTACAACCTGCCCCAAAATAGACAGCGCTTCCACCCCAAACTATCCTGGCCCTCTCCTCTTCTAAAGCTCCCCAAATGAGGCCACACCTGCAGCTCAACTCTGGGGCCCCCTGATTCCCAACCCCCCAGGCCCACTAAAGCCAGGGTCCATTTCCCACCCCAGACCTGGGGGCCACCAGCACCCGCCTCGTGAGGAGGAAAAAGTCAAAGGGGACTACTTGTGGTTTCCTGCGACGCCCAATGGGATGCAACAGCACAACGTGGAGTCCTGAGGATGCAGGTCCCGAGCTGCAGCAACGCTGTCCCAGCGAGGACTGGCAGGGTGCGAGGCTGTCCCCCGACAAGCCTCGAACGTCTGAGGTGAGGCTACGCCCCTCTCTGTTCTCGCCACGCGAGACTGGCAAAAAGCGGTGGTGTGTGTCACCATGCGCATGCGCACCGGTGGGCGGGAGCGCAGGGACTGGCTGCTTAGAGCCACTCGGCCTCGTGCCTGGTTCCCTGACGAGGCATCTGCTCCCGCGTGCCGATAGTACTGACCAATCAGCGCTCGTCTCGCCACAGGCCTTTTCCTCAGGCCACGCCCCTAACCTCTCAGCCTCGAGCCTTATCTCCTGATGACAAACAGATGCTCCCGCATAGTATTGGCCGGTCAGCGCTCCCTGTGCCACCGGCCTTTTTCTCAGGCCACGCTGCCCTTGCATCGTCTCCAGAATAGACGTCTGCTCCCGTGTAGTACTGACCAATCAGCGTTCGCTACACGGCTGCCTTCGCTCAGGCCACGCCGCTTGTCTCTGCAGGAGCTGCTGGGCCTCGTGCGTGAGGAGGCACTTGCTCCCGCTCGCACTTAGCCGCGACCAATCAGCGAAGGCCCTTTGGAGAGTGGCGACAGTTGCCAGGTCCCCAGCAGAGAGGGGGGGTCAGGTCCCTAGCTCCCCGGTCTGGCCCGCCATTTCCACCTCTTCCCTTGCATTAGCTGCCAAGCTCCAGGCTGGATGCTAGTGACTTGGCTGAGTTTCTTCAGTGGAACTTCTGATGGAGACAGCTCTTCTTGATTCAGTGTCCTTTTTAGTATTTGGGCTTGCTGTGTAGCCCAGGCTTGCAGTACTTTCGTGTCGGAATGCTGGGCATGCGTCGCCACGTCAGTTACAAACCACATTTGATGTATTTTTTGCCCGAACTGTACATTTTAGAAAGCTCATTCTGTTGTCTGGAGTAGTGTTGCACGCCTTTAGTTCCAGCACTGGGAGGCAGAGGCAGTTGAGTTTGAGGCTAGCCTGGTCTACACAGCGAGGTCCAGGCCAGCCAGGACTACACAGTGAGACCCTGTTTTAAAACAAAAAAGTGGGTGGAGATTGGGGGTGGGGAGAGAAGGGGCTGGAGAGATGGCTCAGAGGTTAAGAGCCCTTACGCTCTTGTTCAATTCCCAGCACCTTACCTAGCCGCTAACAACTGTCCATAACTCCAGTTCCAGGGGAGCCAATGACCTCGGGGATTGCACCACCTGGGTGCACTTTACATACATGCAGGCAATACACTCATACACATAAAATAATAATAATAATAATAAAGCCAGGCAGAGTGGGGCATGGTTTTAATCCCTGCACTGGGGACCCAGCATTCAGGAGGCAGAGGTAGGAGAGTCCCTCTGAGTCGGAGGCCAGCCTGGTCTTTGCAGTAAGTTCCAGGCCAGCCAGGACTACACAGTGAGACCCTGTTTTTTTTTGTTTTTTGTTTTTTTTTTGTGTGTGTGTGTGTGTGTGTGTGTGTGTGTTTTTAAAAAAAAGGGGGCGGAGGATTGGAGAGATGACTGAGTGGTTAAGAGCACTGGCTACTCTTGCAGAGGACCTGGGTTCAATTCCCAGCACCCACATGTGGTGGCTAACAACTGTGTATAACTCCAGTTCCAGGGGCTCCAACACCCTCTTTTGTCCTCCACGGGCATTGTACTACCCAGGTGCACTTGCATACATGCAGACTCACACACATTAAAAAAAAAAGCCAGGCATAGTGGTGCATTCTTTTAATCCCAGCACTTGGGACCCAACACCAGCACTGGGGACCCAACACCAGCACTGGGGACCCAACGTCAGGACTCAAGAGGCAGTGGCAGGAAACTCTCTGTGAGATTGAGCCCAGCCTGGTCTATGTAATGAGTTCCAAGCCAGCCAAAATTACACAGTAAGATCCTGTCATAAAAACAAAACAAAAGGGGGGGGGGGGGGGGGAGCAGGGCATGGTGGAGCATGCCTTTAATCCCAGCACTCGGGAGGCAGAGACAGGTAGATATCTGAGTTTGAATCCAGTCTGGTCTACAAAGCAAGTTCCAGGTCAGCTGGGGCTACAGGGATACCGTCTCAAAAAGACTAAACAAAAGAAAAAAAAAAAAGGGGTGGGGTGGGGGGGGGGGGGGCTGGAGAGATGACTGAGCGTTCTTGCAGAGGACCTGGGTTCAGTTCCCAGCACCCACATGGTGGCTAACAACTGTCTATAAATCCAGTTCCAGGGGATCCAATGTCATTTTTTGGTCTCTGCAGTCATTGCACGACCCAGGTGCACTTACATACATGCAAGCAATACACTCATACATATAAAATTTTTAAAAGTCAGGCATATTTGTGTATGCTTTTAATCTCACTCGGGACCCACCGCTTAGCACCCAACACCAGCACTCAGGAGGCAGAGGCAGGAGGTTCTGAGATTGAGGCCAGTCTGGTCTACATGAGTTACTGGCTAGCTGAAGCTACATTGTGAGACCCTAACTCAAAAAACAAAAGGAGCTGGAGAGATGGTTCAGCTGTTAAGAGCACTGACTGTTCTTGCAGAGACCCGGGTTTTGAATCCCAGTACCCACGTGATGACTAACAACCTTCCAGTGACTCCAATTCCAGGGGATCTGATGCCCTCTTCTGACCTCCTTAGCATTGCACAGATGCACTTACATACATGTAGGCAATACTATCCAACATAGGTGCACTTAAATGCATGCAGGGAATACATTCATACACATAAAACTAAAATAAATAAAATTTAACTTAAAGTTTATTTTTTTAAACGAGGTGTGGGAATTGAGGAATGAATGGGAAAGGTCTGTAAAAACTAAGATAGTGTTAATTATTGCGTTAATCAGTGTAAGTAAATCAATAATCTTGCTCTTCAACTCTTCAACCCTCACTAACATCCCTTTGAGGTAAGGCAGCCTAGATTTCCCTTTTAAAGGCGGGGAGAGGCAAAATGGAGGAGGTTGGACTCTAGTTCCCAGAGAGCCTCGCGAGGGAGTTTTTCTGCTCCTGCGTAGCCGAGTGCGCCCGTTGCCTCCTGGGAGTTAAAGTCAGTCTCTTCTCAGCTCGCCTACTTTGTTTCCTACCCCACCTCCAAGGTGCAGTGCTGCCTGATGGGAGTTGTAGTCCGCAGCCGCCCGTACTCCAATTCCCAGCGGGCTTCGGGGCGAGAACCCGGAAGGGGAGGTTGGAGAGGAGCGAGTGGGGGAAACCCGCGTAGTCGAGTGAGCCGCAGCGCGAGGAGATGGTGAGTGCTCCAGTCAGGGACCCGGAGGTGCTGGAGAGTATGGGCGGGGGATGGGGGCTCAGGACCTGGGTTCAAGAGGGAACAGGTTGAGGCTAAAGAAGGAGCTGAGCGTGGGGAGAGATGGAATGGGAGCCCGAAGAAGTAGAAGAATGGGGCTTAGGGAGGGGTCTTGGAGGTGGGGAGAGAATTGATTGCAAGGGGCTTCAGAGCTGGGGAGTGAGGCTCCTTATTGGAGCCCTGGCAGCACGTCTATGCAAGAGACCCGAGGGGGGCAATTACGAGAGAGGCTAGTTAGCCTGTGGTACATGGAAAGGTATGCCGGATTGGGGCTAGATGAGTGAAGTGGTCTGGTGGCTCCTAGGGAGAGGCTAACCGACGATGCTTTGGGTTGGAATCTCAGGTAGGCAAGTTGAGGTGGGAGACAGAATCAAGACGGTGTGGGTTAGAGTCAAGAGGGTGTGGGTTAGCTTCTAGGACCTGGGTACGGCGTGGCGTGCCTGAGTTTAGGAGCGTGGCTGTAGGTCTTTGCTTTATCTAACCAGAAACTCCCGATTAGCTAGACAGTCATAGAACTGGGATGATTGGGACAGAAGGGACCCGTCCAGACAACCTTTAGCACCCTTCCAGCCCCAGTGGGATTTAAAAGAGTAGAGGTTTGTTTGTGCGGGCAGTCCAGCTTTCAGATTCCTTATCCTGCCCCTCCTTTGTGACCTAGGCAAATCTCTCTGTAAGCCTCTGTGCCTTTATCTTTATGAAGTAAAGAACAAGCAGGCCACTGTGAAGAAGGCTCAAGGGAGGCTTCTTAAAAATCGTTACTTTGGGTAGGAAAGCAAGTCCCAGGGTCAGAGCTGTTGGTGGGAAGTTCCCTGTCCCAGGAATGTTGACTGGATTAGAGCTGCTAATAGAGCCCCATGGCATTTTCTCACAACCTGACACTAGTATGGGCACACCGCAGTTCAGAAGCATGCAAGGGCTCCCCGAGTATCTCTTACTGCCAACACTTAACTGTTTTGCAGAAGTGACTGGTCTTGGTTTTAGCTATTAACTCATTGGATTCTGATTGCGTCTCTGTGGTGCTGTTGCACCATTTTACAAGCAGAGACACAGAGAGGTCAAGCAACTTTCTCAGTGCCTACCAGTATTAAATGATACATCCAGGATTCCAGTCCATGATTCCAGTCCATATCACTTTAATCTAATCCCCTCTCCTTTTGCTGATGTAGAATATAGTGAGTTGGGATCGAGGTCAAAGAAGTTATTAGAGTGGAATTTAATTTTGCCATATACTTGCTGTGTGGTGCTGGACAAGTCTTTAGGACTCTCTTTGCCTATTAAATGAGATTCATACTGCTATGTGCTTAGAGCAAAATACACATGTGTTGTTGTTCAAGGCTGGCCTTGAACTCTTGATTTCCCTGCCTCAGGCTCCAGAGCACTGGGAATACAGGTGTGTACCACAGCAAGTCCAGATGTTGTTTTGTTTTGAAACTGGATCTCAGGTATCCAGGCTATCCTCAAACTCTTAGTGTAGCTGACGATGGCCCTTGGACTTGTGACTCTCTTGCCTTCACCTCCTGACTGCTGGGATTATAGGTAGGCACTACCATGCCTGCTGGGGATCGAACCCAAGAGTTTGTACATGCTAGGCAAGCACTCTACAAACTGAGTTATATCACCAGCCCGTGTTTTTGTTTTGTTTTTAAAATGAATGGGAAACAGATCAGATAAAGAATGTAATGGGGGCACCAATGGGGAAGCACCGGACGTGCTGTCTCCTTTTGTCTCCCAAGTTGCTCCCCCACCCCCCTCCTGATCTTTCTAGTTCCATCTTTCTTATGTTCCTGGGTTTCTAAGTCTATACCAAACTCCTGGAAAGGTGCTCAGAAACTCAATCTGTCCCCAGCCAAATATTAATTGTCCAGTCCGGCCCAATTCCTAGGTCTTTCAGTGAATGAGAAACATTTCTAACAACTGAGTTGGGGTTTTATTTCTCTCTCTCTCTCTCTCTCTCTCTCTCTCTCTTTCTCTCTCTATTAATCTTCTAACATTTGGGACATTATGGCTTCCCTAGGGAAGGTGCTCAGAAACTCAATCTGTCCCCAGCCAAATATTAATTGTCCAGTCCGGCCCAATTCCTAGGTCTTTCAGTGAATGAGAAACATTTCTAACAACTGAGTTGGGGTTTTATTTCTCTCTCTCTCTCTCTCTCTCTCTCTCTCTCTTTCTCTCTCTATTAATCTTCTAACATTTGGGACATTATGGCTTCCCTAGGGAGTTTAACAACTTTGCAATTTACCTTGAAATGGTTTTTTGGTTTGGTTGGTTTGATTTGTGTGTGTGTGTGTGTGTGTGTGTGTGTGTGTGTGTGTGTGCGTGCACCCTTGGAAGAGGCTGGAGTTACAGACAGTTGTGAGCTGCCTGATGGGGGTACTGGGAATTGAACTTGGGACCTCAGGAAGAACAGAAAGCATTCTTTTTTTGGTCTTTTTTGAGATAGGGTCTCCCTTGTAGCCCCAGTGTCGTAGAACTCACTATGTAGACCAGGCTGGCTTTGAACTCACAGAGATCCGCCTGCCTCTGCCTCCTGAGTGCTGGGATTAAAGGCTGTGTCACCATGCCCTGGAAGCACTCTTAATCACTGAATCATCTCTCCAACCCCAGTTTGATTCATTTGCTTGGAGGCTTTGGTTTCTCAATTCAGTAACTGATAAAGTGTATTGCTAAGAGCGCTGGGGTCACATAGGGCCAGGCTGTGTGTCTTTGGCCAAGCTGGATTCCCATTCCCAGCCTCAGTTTTCTCATCTGTAAAATGAGATGGTGTTCAACCCATGAGGTTCTTCTAAGGAGTTAAGGCAGTGTATCAAAACGCCTGGTGGGAATTACATGCTCAGTAAGTATGAGGGCCTTCTGTGACTTTCATTCTTTGGAGGAAAAAAAAAAAACATTTTAGCTGGACATGGTGACACAAGCCTTGGGAAAGGGATGGTAGGGGGATCTAGAGTTCAAGGGCATCCTCAACTACATACAAGTTTGAGGCCAGCCTGGGCTACATAAGACCCTGTAAAAAAGAAAGAGAAGTGGAGAGATGGATCATTGGGACCTCAGTTTTGTCTTCTAGGGATTCACTTTTAAATATTTATTTATTTATTTATTTATTTAGTGTGGGGGGGTATGGTTGTGGGTGGTTGCATGCCACAGTGTGCCTGTGAACGTCAGAGGGAGTTTGTTCTCTTGTTCCACCATGTGGGTACCAGGGATCGAACTCAGGTCATCAGGCTTGTCAGCAAGCACCTTTACCTTCTGAGCCCTCTCATTGGCCCAGGATTCACTTCTTAAGTAAGCTATATGTGTTATTACCAGGGTCTCTACTAGGTGCCAGGGCCCAGACTATAGGCAAACAACCCTCTGCGGCTCCCTGTTTTCATAAAGTTAGGGTAGTGTTTTCCCCGCCAGTGGCCTTGTGTTCAGTATTTAGGTTCAGGCCTCTTCATCCGGGATGTTTCACCCCTCGTGCTCATTCTGCCTGCCCATCTTTGTCCTCAGGGATTTTTAACATTGTCTCTACTCCAATTATCTGAAGACCTGAGGGTTTAGGGAAAAGTTACACACACATCCCTCACTTGTCCCTATTCCTGTGTCACAGCTGGGTGATACTTTTTTTTTCCTTACCTTCATTTGTCTTAGAAAATGAGTCAGATTGCCAGGTTATTTTGCCTTTTCTTTTGCTTTGTGCTTTTTCCTTTGTGACAGGGTCTGGCTATGTAGCATAGACTCACCTCAAACTTAGGGTCCTCCTCTCTCGGGACCCTGGGTTCGCTGATTGGGCTAGGCTGACTACTGACCAGCAAACCCCAGGAATCCCCCTATCTCTGCGCCCCGCCCCCCCCAGCACTGAGGCTCTAGGTACATGCCACCATGCCCAACTTTTTACAGGGGTACAGGGGATTGAACTCATATCCTCATGTTTGCATGGTAAGGATTTTATACACTGAACCATATGGCACTCCAGCCCCCCTCCACACTCCCCTTTTTTAAAAAACACTTTATTTATTATTTTTATTTTATGTGTACTAGTGTATTGCCTGCATGTATGTGAGTGCACCCATGTCATGCATGTCGTGGAGGTCAGAAGAGGGCTTCGGATTTCCCTGCAACTGGAGTTAAGGATGGTTCATAGCCACCATGTGGGTGCTGGGAATCGAACCTGGGTCCTCTGCAAGAGCATTCAGTGCTCTTAACCTCTGAGCCATCTTTCCAGCTCCTTAAAAACACTTTTAGGATTTTTTATTTATTTTTATTTTATATGTAAAGAGTGTTTTGCCTGCATGTATGTAAGTGCACCCGTGTCATGTAGTACCCACAGAGGTCAGAAGAGGGTGTTGGATCTCCTGGAACTGGAGTTATAGGTGGTTGTTAGTCACCATGTGGGTGCTGGGAACCAAATCCAGGTCCTCTGCAAGAGCAGCCAGTGCTCTCAACTGCTGAGCCATCTCTCCATCTCTTCAGCCCACCACACCCTGTTTTTAAGATAAGCTTTTACTCTGTGGCCCTGCTTGGGCTCTCAGGGACTCTCTTGCCTCAGGCTCCTGAGTTGACAGGCAAGAGAGACATCACACCTGTTTCTAAATGTTCTCCCATCTGTTTTGTTGTTGTTATTTTGAGACAGCTGACCTGGAACTCACTATATAGAGCAGGCTGGCCTTGAACTCAACACTGATTGGCCTGTCTCTGCCTCCTAAATGCTGGGACTAAAGGTGTGTGCCACCAGGCTGGCCCTTTCCCCCATTTGTAATAGCATATTACTATCTGTGGTGGCAAAGCTGTCTTCTTTCTAAAAGCCTAGCTTTTTCAGGGTGAAGCAGGGTGACACCTGCTTCACCCTGTCCCCAGTGGTTCATTGATTTTTTTAAAATATTTTTTTATTTTTATTTTATGTGTATGTGTGTTTTGCCTGCGTGTAGGTAAGTGCACTTATGTCATTGGAGGACAGAAGAGACTGT